ATTGAAAGTGGCTTAAAATGTAAAAGCTATATCCAATCTTTAAATTGCATTAAATGGCTTAAAACAACCCCAATAATAGTATGCATACATGCATGCACACACACACACACACACACACACTGATTGAAAACATTTGTTTAGAAGGAGCTATTTTCCAGTCAGTGGAGAGAGCAGAGAAACAGGATGGAGAAAGTGTGAATATCAGGAAGAATATTTTCAAAGCTGAGAAACCTGTGAGTTCAGGTGAATTGAAGTAGCATGCAATATGGTTTAGTGGTTTGAGCATTGGACTATAACTATGGACACCAGGGTTCAATTCCCTGCTTGACTTTGAAAATCCACTGTGAGACCTTGGGCGAGTCACATCCTTTCAGTCTCCTTGGGATTTCAGGCCAAGTGGATGTATTGCCCTATCTCCAGAGCTGAAGTCCAAAACTCAAATCACTACACAGTGCTGGCTGTCTATGGTGGTATTAATTTTGACTTTCTCATGAGACTAAACCTTGCGATCATTCTCAGTGAAGACGAAAGGTTACTAGCTTACTTGATGGCTCCATTGTCAGTGGAGTAGCAAACCCACTCCACTTTCTAGACCAAACTTTAAAGAAGTTGGTCAAAGTGCCAGCCATATCTTCCAAAGAGGTTTAGCACTTTGAATAGCTCCTTTAAAATTTCAGTTCAAAATCTGGGCAGAATTTACCATCTATCTGGACTAAACTTTCTCTAGAAGCCAAGATGGCTAAATTAAGGCTGTTGTACTTATTTTCATATCATGAGAAGACAGGACTCATTCAAAAATATGATAATGCTCAGAAAGCAGGAGTATAGTAGGTAAAGAGGAAGGCTGCATTCCAAATAGATAGACTCAATCAATAAGCCATGGCTCTGAGTCTGCAAAACTTGAATAGGGATAAGGATGGAGGTTCTGCATTTATTGGGTCACTTAGAAATCTAATTAGTAGGGCTGGGCGGTTTTGTTTCGTTAATTCTTAATTCGTTAAAAATTCGTTATTTTTTTTGTTAACGAAGCTATAACGAACCATTCTGGAGCAACTTAAAAATGAAACGAATTTTTCAATTCGTTTTGTAAATGCTTCGTATTTCGTTATGTATTTGTTTTGTTATTGGTTTGAGGTTGTTTCGTTATTATTTCCGCATGTCTGGGGCAAGTTTTATAGTTGTTTTTTGTTTAATTAGTGAAAAAAAATTATAATATCACACTAACAGTCAACAACAGAGGGAGAGGGAAGCTTCAGAAGTTTTTTTAGTGTATTGCGCGATCGCGGCCGCCATTAAAGAATCGATTCGTTATTGTTTCGTTATTGTTTTGTAATTTTTTTACCATTTACGAAATTTCGTAAATATCGAATCTTTTTTAAGGAAAATTTCGGAATTCTTTTAAATATCGAAACGCAAAAAACCCCAAAAAACAAATCGATTTTAGAAACAAATTTTTCCATTGTTACCCAGGCCTACTAATTAGACTTGAAGACAGCTAACAACAACACATTATAGCCTCCAGGTGCTACTAGAGACAGAATAATAGAATAACAGAGTTGGAAGAGACCACATGGGCCATCTAGTCCAATCCCTTGCTATGTGGGAAAATGGCACAAGGTAAAACATTTTGCTGTCCCACATCTGTTTCCTAAGCACAGTTTCCTTACCTCCTCAAAGCCTTTTAGGGTAGAAGAACTGTCTTTGTTGCAATATTATCGTGATAGATGGGGAAGTGCTGGATGTGGGGAGTAAGGGGAGGGAGAGGAACAAGAGGAAAAGACTGATCTTCTTAAGCCCTTAGTAGGTCATCAGTCTCTCCATAGTCTTTGTCTTCCTATATAGCTTAGAAATGAGTACTAAAATACAGTAAAATCTAAAAGTACAGCTTCCATTTATTTATTTAGTTGCCCCCGGTGGGACAGTGGGTTAAACCCCTGTGCCGGCAGGACTGAAGACCGATAGGTCACAGGTTCAAATCTGAGGAGAGCGCAGATGAGCTCCCTCAGCTTCAGCTCCTCATGTGGGGACATGAGAGAAGCCTCCCACAAGGATGGTAACACATCAAAAACATCTGGGCATTCCCTAGGCAACGTCCTTGCAGATGGCCAATTCTCTCACATCAGAAGTGACTTGCAATTTCTCAAGTCACTCCTGACACGACAAAAAAAAAAAGTAGCAAGAGCAATGCAGTAAATATGCTGTGTACGTCTCCTGATTTTAACAATGTACCTCACATGATTTTCCAAGAATACATTAATTTTCTATGTTACCCAGGCTGGGTAAGCCCATGGTTATTTTTGCCTAATATCAACAATGTAACAATTACAGCACTGATAACTTTTAACTTTAATATCTTTTCAGAAAAAAATAAGAATTTTGAGAATTACCTTTGTTTTCCTTAATATTTTCAATTAAAACTAAACATTGAATAAAGGGCATAATTAATTGTATAAACAGTCAAAAACGAAGATTAATAATGCTCTCCGTGCTTGCTGGACAGGAAGACAACTTTTTACCCCTGCCCCCCTTATTCCACCCCATCCTATCCCTGTTCCTTCCTACCATATCCTTATCCCACACACTACCTATCCCTATCCAGTTTTAAACTTTCCTATTCCCAATACCCTCAACACTTTGCACTCTTTTTCTTTTTATGTATGTAAAAAATCTACGTTATTCTTCAATAAAAATCATTTATAAAAAAACTAAACATTGATTAATATATATATATATATTAAAAATACCCATATGAGTTGTCTGTAATTAGTGTCTTGCATTTGTCACAACAGTATTCTATTAAAAAGGAGATAGAAACTTAGTTCCCAAATAACTTTTCAGAAACAGTCTTTTTGTTCTGATCAAGCAGCAGGAGAGCTTTCAAGAGATGACACAAGGTTTAATATATATTTTCAGAATATGAACATGCCCTAATTTATATACTTCCAGCTGTTGTTTTGGAAAGGATTTTGACATTTCTTTTTTTTTTTACAGAGGCTGATAAAGTTATGTTTTTTAAATCACTATTATAAGGGCAGATTCCCTCATAAGGGAAGAACTTCTGTCCCACATCTTTATAAAATACCCGTGTGCATCCCCTGATATGAAAGGAATCTTACCTCACATCAAAGAGCCAGAAGACTAGCCTTCCATGTTATCAAGCCATCAGAATGAAAATCCACAGCACACTTGGCATATCAAGTCTTTCCTATTCAAACCACTGAAGTAGTGATTGCTGAAGTCTGACTTTCCTTCACAGCCTGATTTTAAGTCTTAACCAACATGATGACGTAAATGTTAAATATTCAGACAAGATAAGCAGATGATAAATCTTCCCTTCAGTGGCTGGCTTGCAGCAGAGAAGGCTTTTTGCCAAATGAGTGTTAACAGCACGGAAATAAGTAATAAGCCACAATGACAACTGCATTTATACATTTTCCATCTGAAACCACATTACTCTATCATGTTACCTGATCACAGACCACAAAAAATTAGATGCAATATTGGGCATTCATCTTTTAGCTATGATTCAGTTAATTTCGTGTATGAAACTTTTTTTTAAGAGCCCAGTGTTTACAGTTGTTGGACAGATGACCTTTTTGTGATTAAATACAAACATCCTGAAAATATGCAGAACTGAGGAGGTTTTTAATTTGGCTGCAATACAGCAAACATTCAGAAGTGTTCCAAGCACAGAATTTGTGTTATCATAACACCTCTGTGATTTTTGGCCAGTTCTTGCTGGACTTTTCTTAACTGTTTTCAGCTCTAGCTAGCATTGCTGATAGTGAGGAAACATGGGATTTGCAATCCAACACCACTTGAAGGGGAATAGTTGCTCATCTTGGTGTAATTATAAGCAAGCAGTTAAAATGCACTTCATCGTTATTGTCTTTTAGTTTGGATATCAAAACCCTTCCAGGCTAATAGTTAATTTTGAGAATGCATTTTGTAAAGGTGACATTTTTTGCACTAACTTGGTTTTCTCATGTTTAACATCTAAACTTTAGTACTTTCACACAGATTGTTAATGGAATTTCTAAGGCTGTTCACAACCTTTTTGAAACCACTGCTCTTCCGGGGAACTGCAGCACTATAGACAGGTGCTTTTTGTTTATTTTGGCAAAAACAGAAGGTTGTTAGGAAGAGATATTGACAAAGAAAGGAGGAAGGCAATTTATTACAGACAGGAATGGGTTATAGTAAATTATCCACCCATTTATGATTTACTACACTGGTCTAAGCTGGAAGATACAGGATAAGTTAACATTTGTGTTTTCTCTGTTAATGTTTCACAGAAGAAATACTTCTCAAGGATAATTTATTATTGTTATTTCATACCTGCCTAGATAAAGTTATTGTGCATCTGTGTTTAGTCCTTTTTCAAGGAAGGTTGCCATTAAGCAGAATTTTTTAGTAGTAATCTCAAAGAGTAGATTTATTGAATTGCCTTTCATTTGATCTTGTTAAACTCTCTTCCATTTGGGATATTATCACCCTGCTTTTGAAATAACCCCAGGAATACTTCTGGAAGTTGTAGTCCCAAAATGCAACTTATCTTACAATGTGTCCACAATACAATATCTCTTCCAGCAGATCTACATCAATTTTAAATTCTGAATTTTATTCTGGATTTTATCAGTGGATTTTAACTTGTGTTTTAACTCTGTGTATCTTGTTGTATGTCTTTAATAGAGTTTTATTTCTTGTTTTAATGATGTTGTATCCCACCTCAAGCTTTAGAGAGAAGTAGGTAATAAAATTGTTGTTTTTGTTATTGTTACTACAACCTCAGTTTCGTTATTTGGCTTGTAGTGGGAGTCCATGTTCGATTTGCTCCAGGACCTATTTATTTGTCTTCGATGGTCTGTGGTATCTGTAGAACTCTTCTCAAGCACCACATTTCAAATGAGTAGGTTTTTCACTTTCCAGCTTTCACACCCTGGGATTGCTATGGCATGGATAATTTTAATGTTGCAATTCTGGACAAAAGGCAACTAATGTTTCAAGGTGATGTAGTATTTATTTTACAAATCATAGTGCCAAGAAAGACAAGATAAAATAACAACAATGTGCAACCTATGTTCTTATATAAGAATATTTTCAAGCTTTCATGGTCAATATATTTCATAAAATGATATGGTGGGTGTATGGATGTGGAGGATCCTTCTCATACCACCTTCCAAAAAGGGTTATAGTTAAAACTGGCTGTGATGTACGATTCTGACTCATCAGACGGCCATCACTTAAAACCTGAGGAAGAATGTAAAAGAAGGATTTACAGAATAGAATAGAATAGAATAGAGTAACTTTACTGAAACTGTACATCATACAATGAAATTAAATGCCATTCCCAATTATATTATATATGTAGAAGTACAAAACAAAATATCCATCCTCTCAGCCTATATGTCCTTGTTTTTATCATCCCATACCATCTGCCCAATAATAACAATTTTAAAAAAAGAATATCCAATGTGAGAGGGATCCTTAAAATGTGTTGATCGTTCTTAAGGCAGCTTTCTTAAGGCAGCAAGTTTTTCCAAAGAGGGGAGAGGGCAACCAATAATTCTCTGGGCAGTAGTGGTAACCCTCTGGAGCACCTTCCTATCTGCCACTGTGCAGTTAGCAAACCTTACGCAGATGCAATAAGTTAGAACACTCTCTATAGCACAAAGGTAGAAAATCAACAGCAGTTTTTCATTCAATTTTTGGTTCTTTAAAAGTTTCCAATAATATAATCTCTGCTGGTGGACATGAGAGAAGCTTCCCACAAGCATGGTAAAATGTCAAAAACATCCGGTTATCCCCTTGGCAACGTCCTTGCAGATATATGCTGATGCCAAAAACAATGACATATGATCTGACTATCCCAACTGTGGTAATTGTATAGCCCTATAGCGATGTTTAATGTTGGTATACACTTTATCCAACATATTTGCTCCTCTAGTAACACACTTAACATGCTGATAAAATTTAGAGAGCACTGCTTTTAAGTCAGCAAGATTAAAGTCTCGCCGCAGTAATAGGTATAGCACCAGGATGCTTGTTCTGCTGATTTCCAACAATGTTATATAAAAATCCCAGAGTTATGTTAGGGTTAGCATCAGGTGGAATGTATATTGCAGTAATCACGACCACACAAAACTCCCATGGAAGGTATATGAGTCTACATCTGACAATCCGTAGCCTTAATTCATCAATTTTGTTGATAAGAACAATTAGTAAGAAAAATACTTGGAATGCCAGCCCAACAACTTCTCTTTCTCCTTCTGTCCTTCCACAAGCCTCTGCCTCCTGCCAGCAGGGACACTAATCCAAGGCTCTTCCAAGGTCATAATTGCCTCCACCGGAATATTTAAAAAACCGTATAAAATCATCTTTAATAGGCTTTTTGGATTCCAATCCAATTTGTATCAAGACTTCCCGACAATACAAAACTTCTTCTTTCATAAGGTGTGCTCAGGAAAAGAAGGAACACACACAAAACGCACAAAAACATCCATACTATGCACCAAAGAAAAAAGCACCCAACCGCAGCAACTACATGTGTAGCCATTACCATTTGATCATAATTTATTTCCTGTAGTTATATCCTGCCCTTCTCACCCCAAAGGGGATGCAGAGCTCTTACAGTTCTTTGTTAATTAATGTCCATGCTGACTGGAAGAGAGTGAGAGTTAGTATTCAAAAGGTACCTTCATGAAATTCTGAGAGAAGGACAATTTGTTCCACAGCACATGGCCTTCACGGAAACACAGTGATCACCCTGTGCCATTTATGGCATGGCATAGATAACATGCCTGTCCTCCGAATCCCATTTTTGCCCTGAAAGAGTTGCTGAGCCACCTTACCTTTCTCCTTGTTAGTAAATAGACAGCAAGATTCCTTTCTATGCTGATACAGCATTCAGCAACAGCTCATTCTTTCACACTAGCTGGAGTATATTAGTAAGATTTGGTTACAAACACTGACTTACCTGAAATTCTCCAGGTGCCAACTGAACACCACTGAGCAGGACTTCTGGAAAGACATAGTTCGTGCTGAATGTGCCACTGAGAGAAAAGGAATCAAACTGGGTGTGAGCAGTTGTCACTGACTGGCCACATGTTTGAAGGTCTGTGCCACCACACTTCAGCAATGTGCACACCTAAAAGGGGAAGAAAAACAGTACTTTAGCAACAAGGGACCAGATGTTTACTGTTATCAGAAAAAAAAATCCCTGCTCTGTAATCACTGTGGTGTTTTCAAGATAATGTACTGGGGTAAAGCATAAGGAAATAAATGAGTTGGCTAAAGTAGAAGAACCAGCATGTCAAAATCCTCATTGAATTGTAGGGGTCAGAATTGTGCATAGTATTCCAGGTGATTCCTGATTGTCTTTCAGATGTTTTGGCCTTCAACTCCCAGAGATCCTAACAGCTGTTAAACTGTCTGGGATTTCTGGGACTTGTAGGCCAAAACACCTGGGGACTCACAGGTTGAGAACCACTGCTCTAATCATTTTAAGGTGCTTAGTGTGATGGAATCATAGTCTAATTGAACTTAAAGCCAAATGCATTTGGTATCTCCCACATTAATAGGGTGCTGAATACAGTCCAGTTGTCAATTGTAACTAAAGGAGCTATCTATGGTGTTGGAGGAAGTGTAGCTTTCTGAAGCTACAAATCCTCCAACACCATAGATAGCTCCTTTAAAGAGAGCCTTAGAGAGAGGAGGACTAATACCTGAATTAGTGTCATGAGAATTATCAACCATTCTCAAGTAGATCTTTTCCTCATTAACATAAATGGCAGTGGGGATCTTTATTTGTAATGTGTAATTTTTTTTTAAAAGGGACATATACTTAAGAAGCAATCATGGATAATAGAGAATTAAATCATGCTTAAGTCTCCTATTTTGTGGAATTAAGCACAGTGGATTGCATGACTTAAAGTGCTTAATGTTGGCCAGATCATGCTTTACATTTTTCTCATGACATCTAAGTTTTGGGGTTTTTTTTTTAACTTTATGTCTCACATAATGAACAAAGAAAATATTCCATTTTACCACATAATAAAAAACGAGACCTGTAAATAATATTCTCCTTCTACCACATGAAGTCCATCAAATACACCAAGCACATAATGCTCATCTTCATGTTTTTCTGTCATCTTGTAGCTTAAATGGCAGCAAAGACCTTTCTGACACACTGTAAGGTTCCCAGCTTCTTTGGTGAGTTCAGAGAAAGTGTACTCGTCAAAGAAAATGATTCCTGTGAAATTATGGTCTTGAGGAAATGGTTCCATAGCAGAGGCATACAAGTTCCAGTTAAGAGAGGGAACATAGCTGGGCGAATGAGATGGCTGGGAATCAAGTTCTGCAACCAGAAGACGTCCGTTCAATGTTTCGAGATCATAATGATATGCTCGGGGCCCATCTGGTGCATAGATGCCACTACCTAGGAATGACAATGATGTAGCCAGTCATTTTTTATGGTGTTTATGTTATCCTACACAAACATGTGCCATTATTTACTAACACACCAATATTGTCTAACATGTTTCTACCATAGTGATTATGAAAAAAACAGCTTTCTGTCCCGTCCCCCTCTTCTTTCCTTTACTTCCCGTATTTCTTGTGTCCTGGCATATATTCCTCATGTTTCCAATCCAATAAGCCTTTATCTTTATTGGCATATATATAGCAAAACAGTATAAAATACATTCCCCATACTGCCATTGTTAATACAAAAACCAGTGAAAGATTATGTGATGTGTCAGCTAAAAATAGAATCATAGAATCATAGAGTTGGAAGAGACCTCGCTGGCCATACAGTCCAACCCCCTTCCAAGAAGCAGGAAAATCACATTCAAAGCACCTCTGACAGATGGCAAAAAAAGGAGCCTCCACCACACTCTGGGACAGAGAGTTCCACTGTTGAACAGCTCTCACAGTCACGAAGTTCTTCCTAATGTTCAGGTCGAATCTCCTTTCCTGTAGTTTGAAGCCATTGCTCCCTCCTCCCTATGACTTCTCCTCACATATTTATACATGGTCATCACGTCTCCTCTCAGCCTTCTTTTCTGAAGACTAAATATGCCCAGCTCTTTAAGCTGCTCCTCATAGGGAATGAATTCTTTGGGTTTGTTCACTTAACCAATTGCAGATCTACCTAATCATAGTTCTGCCTAGCCCACATTGGACTAGTTTGTTTGCCAAAAGGTTATGGGGGAACTTGTCGAAGGCCTTACTGAAATCGAGGTACGCTACATCCACGACATTCCCTGCATCTACCCAGCTTGTAAGTCTATTGAAAAAAGAGATCAGATCAGTCTGGCATGACTTGTTTTTGATAAATCCATTTATGTTGGATTTATTAGCGAATTTATCAAAAACAAGTCATGCCAGACTAATATTAAACAACAGAACTTGGTTAATATTAACCAACAGAACTTCGATTTAGGGATTTCTTCCCAGCCAGCACAGATTTACTTACTAGAAGTATCAGTCAGTTCTCGTATTTGCAGATTCAACAATTTTTGGAACTCGGCTGCTTCTATGGAGGGACAAATCTCTCCCCTATCCTGATTGGGGCTTTCTGATGCTGAGCAGAATTCTGGGAAATGTAGTTTATTTATTTATTTATTTATTTACGACATTTATATGCCGCCCTTCTCACCCCGAAGGGGACTCAGAGCGGCTTACAAGTCATAAGTACATACAACATACTACATAATACATAACTAGCATAGTACATCATTCATAACACTAGTACTACATAATATTATATTATTGCTAGGGGAGGGGCGCTGATGTCACAGGGGACAAGATGGCAATGTCCTCCCAGCTCCCCTTCTTTTAGGGCAAGGCCTTTTGAATTCTCTGGTATAGGGCTCCTCGCCTTCCCAAACTACCTTTCCCAGAATTCTGTGCTCTCTCAGTATCTTTCCCAGCTCGTTCAGCTTTATTTCACCCTGCTGTTTTCCTTTCTTCATAGTGAGAGGCCATTAATTTAAAGAGGAACGGCAACCTTTTTGGCTTCCTCCTTACTTGTACTGAAAAGGAAACTTACTTTGATAGGCTTCTGAACATTACAGAATTCAAATGCAAAAGTATTGGATGAGTTTTGATTATTAAGTTTTTGCATGGGCACCACACCATGTTTCTTAACATCTGTCCATATATAAAAAACTGACAAATTAGATATAACTTACTAAATAAAAATGAAGTTTTTGGTAGTTTAATAGTCTTTGGATAGATTCCCAGGATCTTTCAGGGGTCCAAAGAGAAGATTATGTTACAGCTGCAAATGGCTATGGGGACATAGCCAGACACTTCCCTGACTCACCGTGGAGAGGGGATTCAGCAGCTAAACAGTGAGACTGAGTGAGGCTCTGTCTGCTTTGGGATGATGGAGAGAATGGCAAATTCCCCTGCAGCAGCAGCAACAACAGACATACATAGATGAACATCAGGCTTAAGCCTGCATACATCACTAATAAGAAGCTAACCACAGTGTTAAAGTGGCATAATCTTTCATTTTGCTAAGTACCTAAGGGACATTAAAACATCCACATTCCTAGTTTTAGCAGAGAATAGAATTTTAGAAAGAAAGAAAATGGTTAGTGTCAGTGACAACTGGTTCAACCAGTTCATTTCTTACATTCTCTTCCCTAACTCACCATGCGTGATTTCACTTGAAAGTCACATGAAAGGCCAATAATTTTTGTCTTTGTTTCTAAAACAATAACTTTCAAAACAGTGGTCCATGGTCCATATGTCACTAATTGCCAATTCCTAGTGAGCTTCCAAGAAAGAAAGGGTAATGGTAGCCATGGACACAAAAATGGTATTGGTCCCCAGCATGTAGTGAGGAAAAAACCTGCCAGGCACCCACATCATATAGCTACAGATGCACTGTTTTAAAGCAGTGCTACTCACAGTTGTACTTCATAGGCCAGTGCCAATCTGAGGTGAATTTTCATAAAGGAAAGAAACAGTTATAATTATTAAACCTAAGCATAACACAAAGGCCTTTGCTGGTTCCTGATGTCAGATAGCTTAAGAAACAATGTTCTAAATGTTATTACACAGGACACGTGTATACTGTGATTATAAGAAAGGCTGGTCTGGAGCCTACCAATTTTAATTTTGCAAATGTGAGTAGATCAATAGGTACGGCTCCAGTGAGGAAGTAACTGTGCTCCATGCAGTCATGCCAGCCACATTACCTTGGAGATGTCTATGGACAACGCCGGCTCTTCGGCTTAGAAATTGAGATGAGCACCAAACTCCAGAGTTGGACACAACTGGACTTAATGTCAGGGGGAAACCTTTACCTACACACTAAGGAAAGCTTCAAAAATCAGACTAGAGGTGACAGAGATTGAATTTAGATAATCATAATGCTAAAATTGTACATTACCTGTCATGTTCAGACTAGGACGATGAATATTAGATGCCAGGAAATTGACACGCATGCCCACAGCCCAGGCAGAATGGAATTCAACAGCAGTCAAATGTGGAAGGACATTCATCCAGGCAGTAGGGAAGAGGATGGTATCCACATGGAGCTTGCTAACCAGAGCCACAGCAGGATCGTGAAAGAGGATATCAAAGCATGTGAATAGACCAAATTTCCCAAAGGGAGTTTCAAAGGTCACAAATTCAGGTTCTTCAGGTGCATCATATAGCAGTTGTTCTATCATGAAGAGATTGAACTGTCAAAAGAAAGTGAAGCTAGAAGATAAGGTCTTTCATGAAGACAAAGAAACAAACAGAATACAGAACATGGAGTTAAAACAATAGTTTATTGTCATTCAGGAGAATTCTGCAACTAGTAGCCTGTCAGAATTATGGCCCCTTCCACACTGCCCAATATACCAGTACCTGATCTGGGATAATCTGTTTATCCCAGATTATCTGGCAGTGAAGACTCATATAATCCAGTTTAAAGTAGATAATCTTGAGTCAGATCATGGGATATAGGGCAGTGTGGAAGGGGCCCTGAAAAACAGGGGAAAGGGTGACAAATTTCTGAAAAATCTTCTGCAAATTATTTCAACCTAAGGAAAAATAATATTGATGTAGCTAGGTATTCCTAGGTTTAGTATGGTTACCATTGGTCATCTTGGCTAGGGAATTATTGGCATTTTTGTCCTCAAAATGTACTGTTCTAATTTTGTCACGGTATGTTCAAATCAAAATTAACTCCTCTAAGGATTGTGCTTTTCACTATGCACTGAAAATGAATAATGAAAACACACATTTCTTACCTTGTGGTAACGTGCCACCAGTTTTCCATCTGAATTAAAGACAACATTTGTGTTGTACTGGTAACGGCCATCTCTGGGACACTTAAGATCAGTGGAATTGCAGGGCTTCTTATCCCCAATGTTGGCAACCACATAAATTGAGTTGTGTCTTGCCAGGCAGCTCAGCCTTTCTTGTACTGGGGAAGGTCCAAATCTGAATGAATAATGATGATGATGATGATGATGATGATGATGATGATGATGATGATGGTCCCAGTGGTGATCAGCACACTGGATGCAGTGCCTAAAGACCTTGGCCTGCACTTAAACACCATCAGTGCTGACAAAATTTGTCAGCTGCAAAAGGCCACCCTACTGGGATCTGCACACATTATTCGCCGATACATGACATAGTCTTAGAAGTGTCCAACGCCTGATCCAATACAACAGCCAGCAGAACGACTTTGTTTGCCATGTACTAATCTTTTTATGTTAATAATAATAATAATAATAATAATAATAATAATAATAATAATAATAGCAACAACAACAACTTTATTTTTACATCCTGCCACCATCTCCCCAAAGGGAGCTTACATGTGGACCAAGCCCAGTCAGACAGAGTTAAAATATAACACAATAAAAACACATATATAATATCAAAAACATTGTTAAAAACACAATTCATCATACATTGCAATGAAGAATTTGAAGCAAGATGTGAGATCTGTCAGTAGATAATTTATAGACTACTTTAGATGAACAGTCACAACAGACTGGCCTAACCTCTTCTAAGAATATAGAACTATTTTAGCCACCAGATTCTGGGCTAAATGAAGGGTGGGTATAGTCCTCCACCATGCTTCCTTTTCATACATAAGCCAAAGTCAAAGGAGGTTTCCTTTGTGATGAGACTCCAGTCACCGTAAGGGAGACAGAAGAGAAAAGTTCTACTTAACCCCTTCCCTCAAGAAACAACTTCTGCTGTGCCAGCAAAGCAGTAAATCAGCTTCAGCAATTAGTCTAAACATTAAAGGATCTGTCTAATGTGCTGAACTCTATTCCCAAAATAGCTTTTACACCTTAGCTAGCTTTTTCAAAGTTTTAATTTAAACCCAGAATGGATTCACCATTTTGCCGGGGGGGGGGGGTGACCAGAGAAATTTCCCCCATTTTCACTGGTCACCACCCCTCCCCCACTTCCTATGTCATAAATAATTGTTATTTTGATGCAACGACATGGGAAAGGTTAATAACAGGAAAACAGGGGGAAATAGTTTATTTCCCCCCCCCCCCCCCCATGGACTGTCTTTCTGTGACCAGGCCTGCTTTTGGCATTCGCCCTGATAATGCAATAGTACCATTATTATTATTTTTTAACCAAGAAGATTGCAACCCAGGAATCTTCAGTTCCATTTCCTTTCCCCACAGACAATCCCATTCTAGATTGTACACACATGGCAACAGACTGGATTCTCCTGGATACTGCTGATTATGTTTTTGTATATCACATTAAAGCCTTAAAAAGTGCTCTCTCTACATAGGGATCAAGGCAGCTATGAGGTTTGTTTTATTTTGTTTGTGTAGAGACAGGCCTTTATTGAATGTGTGTGAAAGGGGGTGATGAACAATATCCATCTAGTTTTGCAGGGGGTGAGAGGAATATATCGGTGCATACATATATGGTGGAAATCAGGATGAGTGGTTTCTTTTCTCATCCCTAGCACTAAAAGTGTAGCTAGATTTCTATGACATTCTCACTCTCCCTAGCCACTAATTCCACTAAATACATACTACTAGGGTAATCAGATGTCCAATATGACCTTTGGTTCATTGAGGGTCATTCTGCAGAAATAACCAATGCTGCCTTAAGAGAACATCCACCCCTGGTGGCCGTCACCATTTCAATAACCTTCAAAAAAGTCATAAGTTGCTCCATGGCACATAGAGCAAAGGAGATTGGTACTTCTTTATATTCTCCTGAGAGGACTAAACTTTTGCCTTTCACCACTCTATTCAGAGAAAGGGATGGTTCCTCCCCTGCCCCAAATAATTAAAGTACAGTACTAATATTGACCCATGAATAAGTCAAGCCAAAGTGGGAGGGGGGTAGGTTGTATTTTTTTTACTAAAGATGCTGCTTCCTCTTGTGAGAAAATTTGGAGAGAAAAATTAAAATACTGTTATGCCACTGATATGAAGGAAAATTGGCTCAAGACGGTGCACAGATGGTACATGACACCAAAAAAATTAGGAAGGAGTAATAGTGGTACCAGCACAAGGTGCTGGAAATGTAGGGAAAAGGAAGGTTCATATTTCCATACATGGTGGACCTGCAAAAAGGCAAAAAAWTTTTGGAAGGAAGTACAAAAGGAACTTCAAGAAATGCTACAAATAAAAATACCATGGAAGCCAGAGGTATTTCTCCTAGGGATGCATGACTTGAAAATAGAAAAGAATATAGATAAGATTTTGTTCCTGACAACAACAGCAGCAAGAATAGCTTATGCCAGAAGATGGAAGCAGGAAGACACGCCAGATGAAAACGAGAGGTTGACAAAAATCTTGGAAGTAAGAAACATGGACCGGCTYACAYTTTTAATAACAAGAAGTAAAGGGATACAAATGAAGGAAACAAATTGGAAAATAGTGATGGATTATTTCAAACAAAGGAACAAAAAGATCCTGACRTAATTGAGGAAGAGCGGGAGGGAAGGGAGAAGAAAAGAAAGAATACGAGGAGAGAGGAAGAGAAAGGAAAGGAGAAGGAGGCTAGAGGAACGATAGAGAAGACCCAGTGAAAACCCCGGGAAGTCGAAAACAAAAAATTATTCTATATATCTGTTTATCTTTTTTCCTTTTTTTTTTCTTTTTTCTTTTCTCTTCTTACGGTGGGCTTTGGGTACACTACATAGCTTTTCTTGGTAGCTTCGGCTACAAATCTATATTTTAAATGTATCTTTGGAAAATTGAATAAAGAATAATATAAAAAAAAAATTGACCCATGAATAAGTCAAGCCAAAGTGGGAGGGGGGTAGGTTGTATTTTTTTTACTAAAGATGCTGCTTCCTCTTGTGAGTATTGCACAAAGGAGGTAGTCAATTCCTCTCAGTGCAATGGCCCTAATTGTGCATATAACAGAGTAACCTCAGCTTATGCCAACATGTGATAGCCCAAGAGTTTGCACAAAATCTGTTAAGTTACCACTGTGCTCTGTATTTATTTAACATAACACCCCAATAAACCAATTCTAATCTACAATTAAATAAAGTACTTCATCTTGGTTTCAAAAACCCATTCATTAAGGAATCAACATTTTGAATTTATGAAGTCATAGCCAAGAAAAGTATATTTACATTCCACAGTAAATAATATTGTTGTGGGGTGTAAATATACGTAACTAAAATATGCAGAGAATGGAAAAAAAGATTCATTCTAGTAAATCCCTCTTACTTTCCATTTTAAAGTCCAAGTGGGATGCTTCCATGCTATCTCTTGTGGCAGTTTCTGCCTAATTGAAAGTAGTTCTTATTTATAAAGGCAATCACAGAAAATAATATTTATTTTCAACCCATTTCCTGCTCACATGGTTAACTATGATATAGGTCACAAAAAATCTAGCAAAAGAACCTTCCTGTTTTCTTCTCCCATTTGTGATTTCTGTTCCTATAAAATCTGTAGTAAGAAGATATCTTTTTAATGGTAGAAGCTCTTTGGCAGTGCAGAAATGCAATAAAAAACAAATAAAGCCATTTTTTAAAAAAACATACTTTCCTGGGTCAATACATGGAATCCAGTTGACCAGTGGATCTGGAATATCCTCCAGGTAAGGGAAAAATGTTTCTCTTGTGAAACCAAAGCCATATAATCCATCTTCAGGAGTCACAATGATGTGTGCACCCTGTCAAAAGATGCAGGGTTAAAACAGAACAACAAACAAATATAATCTGGCATCAAATCATATTTGGTACCTGGTTTGCTGCTGAAGTGATGGCCTCTTCCAAGATGTCCATGTTTCTGTTCATCAGTGTTAAGGCCTCTTCAGAAGAAACGAGTTTTGAGGCATTTTTTGCCAGTATGACTGGGTGCTCATAAACAGCTGCAATGTAAGTGTCCACGGCAAAGGCCCTTGGGCCCATCACAAGAATGAAAACAAACACATGCCATGAAGAGGACAGAGTGATCATTGCCAGGGCTCTTGTCCACTGGCAAAGATAGAAAACAACGTTAATGAAGAGAAGAAAGTGAGACAAAATGCCACCAGAATCCAAACTTATATTAGCTGGTGCTGAATCCTCGTACTTCTTGTTTCAAAGTGGACTGTGATTCACCAAATCAACAAACAGGGAACTGTACTTTGATCCCTTCATGACCTGAAAAAAAAAGTGCAGTTAGTCAACACTAAATTGTAATGCAGGAGAGAAAGGTTGAGATACTTCACTAAAAAATCTCTACAGTATGATTTTCTACAGGGTCAGCATGCTTATTGTGGGTTTAGAGTGCTTCCATAAGAAGATTTTATTCTTAAAAGTCTCTGCCTAATTTGTTGAACATTATAGATTATCTCTCCCATTTTACTTCCTATTTTTTCCTCAACAAAGCTCCATTTTTTTCCTTTCCTTTCTCTATTAAGGGAGAAAATACAGAGGAAAAGATAGGATATTTCCACAGTGTATTTTGAGAAGGTGCAGATAATCCAAACTATGGGGGTTATCTGGAAAGTAAGGTTACAAGGCACATAGCTCTCGCGGGGAATTTTCTCAGGGGAAGTTAGTATCACTGCAGTGTAGCAGGAAGCCAGAGGAAGCGAATGAGAAGTGCTAATTGTCAGTAGCTCATTGACTGGCATTGTGGTGAAGGTTAAAAATGTGTTGCATGACACACCGCTCATGCAACACAACACCGTTGTTGACTTCATTTGGTTGGGATGTTTTAAGTCACCCCTCTCACAGCCCCGATCTTGCACCCAGTAACTATCATCTGATCACTAAATTGAAGGAACAACTTGGTGGAAAACACTTTTTGGACAACATCAAGGTGAAAATCAAAGTGGCGAACTGGCTGAAAAAAGTGGAGGGAAACTTCTATGACCCAGGCATCAAAAAGTCATCCCACTGATGAAAAAATGTATTGAACTGAATGTTGACTATGTGTAAAAATAATATGTATGCTACAATCCATGTAAGTTTTATTAAAACATATTCATTCTTTGTATTAAAAAAATATCCTTGCATCCTTACTTTCCGGATAACTCTCTTCTCAAGGAGCAGCTCTCCAATAAGCAAAGGTTACAAAATTTGTAAGTTTTTTGCCCCCCCCCCCCCCTGCCAACAAAAGAAAAGCAAGTAAGAAGAGACATGAAAGTACTGAACTATCTATGTTGTTGTATATTCTTTTCCCCAGCATTAGATACAATATATCTCTATATATTTCTCCCACTCATCTAAAACAAATGTTAGCCTGAAAGACAGACAATTAAAACCACCTTATAGTATTGAACTACAGTATATCCGGTGTTGGAGAATACTAGGAGCTGCAGTTCAATGATAGATTGGATACAATTCCCACCCCTGAGATAGACAGATAGGAAGATAGGTAGATAGATAGATGTTCTCTAACTATGTAACTGGGTAAAGGGGGATGATGATGTGATACAGCGTGTGTTTTTGGCAAGTGTCATCTAGTCACCCCCCTTTTTTAAAATTCTGGTTTATCTCGGATTTTAGGACTTGTGTTGAAGAGCTCTCACTTTTTTGAAGAGAAAGGCTTCCTGTGTTCATTAAGATTCTCTGTGTGATCAAGAACCTGGAAAAATCAGCATTCTAGCTTTCATGGAAGGCCTGTAGGTGACACCCACATTTGCTATATGTGACACCCACATTTGCTGCCTGAAGAAGCCACTTTACCTAATGGTACATTCAGCAGTGGATTAAGCATTGGTCTTCTTGCCTAAAGTACTAGAGGGTTGTTTTTTTTTTTTTAGTTTCTTGCTCACAAGTCCTCATATTTAAAATGTACTGCAGTGTAGTAGCAGAGTATCGGACAGATGGCAAGCTGTTTAATCTCAGCAGACTGAAAGCCAAAACCAAGGTTACAACAACATGTTATAGAACTCCAGTATGCTGATGACAACGTTGTCTGTGTGCATTCAGAAGAAGATCTACAAGCCACTCTAAACACCTTCACAGAAGCATACGAGAAGCTCTGCCTGTCATTGAACATCGAGAAAACCAAAGTGCTGTTCCAGCAGACACTAGCCATCCCCTCCCCAATGCCAGAGTTACAGCTTAATGGTGTAACATTAGAAAATGTTGACCATTTCCGCCACCTTGGCAGCCACCTCTCCACCAAAGTCAACATCAACACCGAAATACAACACCGCCTGAGCTCCTCGAATGCAGCATTTTTCCGAATGAAGCAGAGAGTGTTTGAGGACCAGGACATCCGTAGGGATACCAAAGTGCTTGTCTATAAAGCTATTGTCCTCCCAACCCTGCTATATGCCTGCAAAACGTGGACTGTCTACAGGCATCACATGCAACTCCTGGAATGATTCCATCAGCGCTGCCTCCGGAAAATCCTGAAAATCTCTTGGGAAGACAGGCGGACAAACGTCAGCATGCTGGAAGAAGCAAAGACCACCAGCATCAAAGCAATGGTCCTCCACCGTCAACTCTGCTGGATTGGCCATATTGTCTGGATGCCCGATCACTGTCTCCCAAAGTGGTTGCTCTACTCTGAACTCAAGAACGGAAAATAGAATGTTGGTGGACAGGAAAAGAGATTTAAAGATGGGCTCAAAGCCAACCTTAAAAACTCTGGCATAGACACTGAGAACTGGGAAGTCCTGGCCCTTGAGTGCTCCAGCTGGAGGTCAGCTGTGACCAGCAGTGCTGCAGAATTTGAAGAGGTACGAATGGAGAGTGAAAGAGAGAAACGTACCAAGAGGAAGGCGCATCAAGCCAACCCTGACCGAGACCGCCTCCCACCTGGAAACCAATGCCCTCACTGTGGGAGATGATGCAGGTCAAGAATAGGGCTCCACAGCCACCTACGAACCCACCCCCAGGACACCGAACTTGGAGGACCATCATCCTCGGACTACGAGGGATTGCCTAAGTAAGTAGCAATTTATAACAATATGGTGGCCTTAAGCCTGAGTACATATTTTTTGGAAAGCAAAGGAGAATTTAATAAGAAGTCAAATAAACAATTTTAAAAACCCACTCAAGATGTTTTATTCAACAAAAGTCCACTCAAAAATAGCATTAAACGTATTTTTTTAAAACAAGTAGCATGTTGCATATTGAGTTGATTAATCAGAAAGAATAATGACTTTCCAGGGTTTAGAAAAAAAAACCCCATTGTATACATCTACTCTTGGCGCCACATACTGTAGCTGGAAAACAAACATGGGCCTTGGACATGACAGGAAGCACATAAGGAACAGGAAGCTGGACACTGGAACAGGGCTTTTAAGTAAATGTTGACCACAATTGGATATTACTTGGCCATACATGTCGCAGTTTTCACCTGTGAAATGTTGGAGGATGTGATATAATAGTTATCTTGTAATAACATGCTACAAATTTTCCTTCTGAATCATATACCACATTTGTTTTGTATTGATAGCAGCCATCACTGGGGCACTGTGGGACGATGCAGTTACACAACTTCTTGTCCCCCATGTTAGCAACCACATAGATGGAGTAGTTTCTTGCCATACAGTTGAGTCTCTTCTGCACTTGAGTTGTGTCAAGCCTAATGTTATGAAAATTTGAATAACCAAAAACAAATAAATGAAAAAGAGGGAATTCAGAATTTGGTAGGTTAAAGAAGACTAGTGCATACTTATTCGTCTGATAAAGGGCCATTCTTGTCATACTGGAAGCAGGAAGAAAAGAAACGAAAGACCAGAAAGGTGGAAATGCTGGTTGATCTGGTAACACTGAAATACCATTTCTAAAGATGAGGATTTCATGAATGGGAAAAAAATTCTTCAGATATCCAGAGAAAACAGTTTGGAGAACCCTTATGAATACAATGAAGCTGAGTCACATTATAGTGGCCAGAATGAATTAAAAATCCATAACCAGTGTTCCATTTACTGTATGTCAGGATTGGGCAATCTCTGGCCAGTAGACTGGTTCCCAGAATCCCGCAGAAGTTTCTTGTGAACTTCTGAGGGATTCTGTGGGACCATAACATTAGCATTTTCATCTGGAAGAGGAATCTATTTCATGGCTATGAGCAATGGGTTACAAGACCAGAGACCTTTTCACATTCCACAGTTAAAGTGCTATGATTTCACCTTAACTGCCCTGGCAGCATCCCATGGAATTCTGGACTTTGTAGCTTACAGAAAATCATTTAGATTTCTCAGCCAGTGAGCTATCAAGATTTACCATATGACAAGCCTGAGATTCTAGAGAATTTATACATGGCAGTGAATTTGAATACCACAGCGCTGTATTAATTGCTCTCTTAGGCTGCCTTTCCTAACAAAGCAAATATCTTTCTCACACAGATTGCCTTGGCCAAGTTATGATGACAGGATACAGATATAGAGGGAATTGTGAGGTCCATTGTTCAAGAACAAAGTAAATATATCTTTTAAATGGGATTCAAGCCTCACCAGCATACTTACCTCTAAAAGCATCCTACAATGCTTCCACTTCAGCTGGAAGATGGATGGGCAAGTTGCCTATCATACGATGAAGAGGAACTTAATGTGGAGGCCTCTCCTCCAACTGGAGTGCAAGTATCACTCTCAACACAGGAAACTTTCTGTGTTGTGCTGGCTCCAGGGTAGCATCCCTGTGAAGGAGTGTGCCATGATGATCTCTAGCTCATGCCATAGAACTGACACAAACCACATGGCCATGGGTCAATGGGCCAAAAGGGAATGTAGGACAAATGGACCAGCCATAAAACTCAATTGCCTAAAGGTGAGGGGAGAACCAGGCTCTGGATGGGAAAGGTGCCAGGATTCCTGAATGAGTGATTTATGGTATTGTAGTTAGTACTAAATAGGAGGCAAAGTCGAGGCTCTTGCATTCAGAACAATAAACACATTGATATCTACTCTCCCTGTGATTCTCTGCGTGATCCTTCATAGGAGATTTATCCAGACCTACACAGCTTGGAACTGAGATATCTGACAGAGTGGCACATGGGACAATGGATTTGCCCCAGCTGCTCTTCATTTCTGCAGCAAAACCAGGTGAAGTGAGACATGCAGGCAATAAAATCATGTATTAGCAGCCTCCATGTTCACCACACAGCTAATACATAAACTTTATTATCTACACCAATAAAATGATTACTGTAAGAACCAACAATACAAGGGTTGGAGGAGCTGAAAACCTAGCTACTCATTCCGATTAAGAATTCTAATGCAAATATTTGCATTACTTATGCAAAAACAACTGTGCCAGCTGTTATTTTAAAGTTAGTCAAGTGAAAACCTTTAGCAAAACTTATAGTATCTGTCACATGAATGGACAAAATGTAAGCTAGGAATGCCCCTCCTCCCCCACCTGATGGACATTTTTATAGCTCTCAGGACCCCAAGAAGGGGGTGCATTGATACAACATGGTTTATGTACAAAATATCTGTCACAGTGCATATCCAAATATAAATAAATCCTAAATGGTTTCAATTGTGTTGGTTCCCAAAGAAGTGTGCATGGAAACTCAGACTAAATGGTGATCCTCTTCAAGCATGAAAGCTGTTTCTATTCTCTAATATTAGCCATATTAACCTTTTGCAAGCAATATTTGGTGGATGACATTGGTACATTTATGCAACTCCAGGACTTTTACTCATTTCTTTAACATTATAATTTAAATAATCGGGCTACAACTATTACATTAATAATATTGTCTGTAAGACTTGATTTTTACAGATTTCCGGACTTTCAGAAAGCAAGGAAATTTATGTCACACGTAAAAAACATGCTTGTTTACTGCCACCTATTGGGGAACATTGTGAAAACTGATTTATTATTTAAAAGGTGCACATTCAGAATGGGCAAACTTTGAATTTCTTAATTCCTGCTTTACTCAACATTGCTATTATCTACTCAGTATCCATAGAACTGGTATCCAGCAACATATTTCAAATGATGAATTTTCTTCCCATCTTTTTAGTTTACACAAACTAAACTTTCACAACCATACATAGAAATTGGGAATATGATGGTGCAGTGCCTCTGAGAGTAAAGACAAAAGATCCACTGGACCACTCTAACAACCACCATATTAGACTATACAGAGAAGCCAATGAAATCCACAAGCATGTGGACAATTTCAACAGAAAGGAGAAAACATGAAAATTAACAAAATCTGGCTACCAGTATTTTAAAAAACTTTAAAATTGGGACATAAATAAAGAGTAACAATTAAAAAAAAACCAGGGGAATTCCAGAACAGGAAACAATCAGGGCCTACTAACTCAAGGCAACCCAAGATAGATCCTGTGGGTTGTATTCAAATTGAATTTGTTTGGGAGTCAGAACAGGTACATTTTAAAAGTGTAACATGAAAAGACATTTCATATTCAGATAGTTAAAGTGGCCATATGAGGAGGTCGCTGCTGCCAAATTCAAGAACATTAAAACAAATGGAAAAGAGTTGCCAAATATTTGGGGGGGGGGGTCATTGACTACTTGTCTTTGCAGATATCATGCATGCATGAAGGTTGTTCTGTGTTCTGTGTTCTTTCCACATCTTCCATCTTGTTCTTCTCTCATGTCAAGATTCCATCACAGGCCTAAAGAATTTCAAGGATGTTGTGATTCCAGAGTATGCAGGTTGACAATCCCAGGATTGTTTAGTAACTGATAATTCAACAATTCATTAAGACTCAGGTCCCTCTTACACTACCATATAGATAATCCACATCATCTGCTTTGAACTACACTGCCATATAATCAATTTCAAAGCTGATAATCAGGATTTTTATGGTAGTGTAAAAGGGACCTCAGTGTGTGATCAAGAACCAGGGAAAATCAACACTCTAATTTCCATGGAAAGGCTCTATGAACAGAAGATACTCTGTTGTACTTTTTGGAGAGTGAACATTCAGCAATACATAATCAACTGTCTTCACCTGACACCCTCATTCGCTGCCTAAACAATTTGCTGCCTCAGGAAGCCACTTCACCTAATGGAACATTCAGCTGTGATCTAAGCATTCTCTCCTTTGCTTATAGCACAAAGGGGTTTTTCCCCTTGCTCATAATTCCTCTTCTTCTTAAAATCTTCACATATTAGAGTACAATGTAGTGGCAATTTATGACTATATGGTGTCTTAAACCAGAGTTTATATGTTCAGATAAGCCAAGGAGAAGTTAAGCAAGATGTTTATTAAGGAAGGATGTCAAGTAAACAGTAAAAAAAACCCACTCAAGATGTTTTATTCATCAAAAGCATGTGAGTTCATTTAAAAAGAGCATTTACTAGGATTTTAGAACAAGTAGAATATTTCCAAAACTTAGGAACAAGTTCCCAGCATTTAGAAAAATCCCTTTGTGTACATCTGAAATGTTATCCCATAGGCAGGAGGGGAAGAGAGAGGGGAAGGGGGGCAAGCAGAGGAAAGCTGAGGGAAAACGTCCTTAATTTCTGTATGCCGTCTTCTATCAGGAATCAGGGGAACACTCAATTTTGTCTTTGCACACTAGTGAGATGGATTTACACACCCAGCCACTGGAAGTGATTGTGCATCATGGAAAGACCTCTAAGGGACTCTGTACACCAGTGTGAAAACACAATCAGAAAACAGGGGGAAATTTAGTGTGGGATAAAGTTCCTAATCTCAGATCCACATAGCTGGAGAGCAAACATGGTCCTCAAACATGACAGAGAGCAGCTAAGGATCAGGAAGGTGAACTGGAGGAGGAAGGTGCACTGGAGGATCTAAGGAGGTCCACAAATACTTCTGAGGGTGGATTTTTTTTGAGATTGTAAGTTAAACTCTGAGTATCAAATCATTGGATAAGGGGGTTCTACTGCACATCAAATTTATCAAAAAAAATTATTTTCCCCTAAGGTGACAGATTGTTTGAAGTGAATAAATTGGATTAGCATTAATCACAAAGTTTTCTCCATTCTAAAGATGAAGACTGAATTTGCCTAGAACAACTCCATTTATAAAGGAACATCTTTAATAAAATACAAAGCAAATATATTTCCTTCCTGAACATCCCCTATGTTTCGTTATGATCTATGCTTTAACAATTACACAGAAACACCAGACATTGTATTAATTCTGACAACTGCTCCTGATAACATCAGTCAAGTTTGCCCTGAAATTAGTATTTAGCCTTTGCTCTGCAAAAATCACCATCCTATCCCAAAATTCAAGAAAAGTTCAAGAAAAGAGACATAACTGTATTGAATGGATAAATGAATTCTGGTTATTTGAAAAAGAAGCAAAATAACAAAAAAATCTCATGTTGAACTGTACAAAGGATGTGGGGAGTCCTTTTGATACCATCTTCCAAAAAGAGCCACACATAAGACTGGCTTTGATAGTTTTCTTTTACTAATGAGACGTCCATCGGTCAGTACCTGTAAGAAATTTGTTTTACAAATAAAAACATATTTGTATGTAATTTAGCATATTAATAAGGGCAAAATTAATTGTTCATATATTTGATTCAGCCATGTGAAATTAGCTGTTTTGTTCTTGTCTTCTGCAAAAGAGATCTAATAAGCTATTTTATTTGTTGCTATAACTACTGACCACCTGCTGCAATGCAACCTGAGCCCTGCCACATGCACAATGGAGGACCTTCTTGCAGCAACACCAGAGGCACTCCAAGTGGCCAGCTACTGGTCAAAGGACATTTAATCAGCTACCAAGCTTGCAAACTTTGTGTTTTGTTAGTCTGTTTTGTTAAAAAATGCAATGTAACTGTTTGGTCTTGCCCCTGACACGATAAATAAATAAAATTTTGTTTCTAAAAAATAAAACTGGATATCTGTGCTAATATTTGAAGCTACTTACCTGAAATTCTCCTGGAGCCAGTTGAGTCTCAGTGAGCAAGACTTCTGGGAAAACATAACTAGTGTTGAATGTGCCACTGAGAGAAAACGAGTCAAATCTTGTCTGAGCTGCATCTACTCGTTGCCCACATGATTTTACATCTGTGCTATTACACTTCAGAAGTGTACATATCTAGGGAAAGAGAGAGGAGGAAGATAATAATCATGGGTCTAAGTCAGTCATAGAAACAAGAAAATCATTTCATGTTCATAGAATGGGGGAAATGCATTTCTTGTATGTTGGTGGCACTCGGATTTGGAACAGTCCTAAACTAAGATTACATGGTTATTGACTGCTGGTGAACAATTTCATCTTGCTTTTCAGCCAGAAACCCTCCCAACAGGGTTTACATAAGTTGAATAAAAGCAAGACATTCATGCTAATAGCAGTATTATCTAAAACAGGGATTTTCCACTCACACCCCCTTTTGATCTGGATTTTTTTTCCATGAACCTATTCCACATGATAAATTTTTACATAACCCCAAGTATATAGGTATATAAAATAGGTATAAAAATCAAACTTCTATTGATAACAAATCAGCATTTGCATGGCTTGCTAAACAAGCTGTATTTCCTATTTATGAAGTACAGCTGAAGCATTTTCTTCAGAATCTACTGTGAACACAGATTCATGTAAATAAATATCTAAAACAGCCACAAGGTGAGATTCTGATTTCTTTTTTCACGATGACAATAATGAACTAAGGATACCCCATTTAGGGTCAGGGCCCAGAATTTAAGAAGCAGTGATCTAAAAGATACAACACAATGTAAAAATAGACTGCAGAGACAAAAGGAAAGCAATCAAGGGTAGGCATTGGTTTTTAAGTTTACATAAATTTTCCCTTTTTTAATTCCTCCTCTTTTTTCCCCAAGCAGCTACAAAGAGTAAAAGAAAAACATTGTGTCTTATTTGTATATTTCTTTTCTGTTTGGGAAATGGAATGACATTTTCAGCTTCAGAAATTTCTACAGTTAGATTTCATATCAGAATTTAAAGGCTCTAAGATGTTTACAAAGATTGGAATGGCATACATTATACTATATATGTCTTATTGTATTATGTTGTAAGATGTTTACAAAGATTGGAATGGCATACATTATACTATATATGTCTTATTGTATTATTGTGTATGATATTCATTGAAATATATACTAGGTCCTCCTCTTTCATGGAGGTTAAGGTTACAGAACTCTTGTGAAAGTGGGAAAAAAATTAAATAACATGATTTTAAAAAAACATGAGAAAGCACTCCTCTAGATTCTCCAGAAGAACTCTATGGTCAACTGGAAGCTGAACATAGACTTGTGCTGGAGGACCTACAAATGCCTAGAGGGATGTTCTCTCTAGGAGTTTCTAAGTCTTCCAACATGACTCAATGGTCAACTTTTAGTAGACATTGACCATAGAGCCATGTTGGAGAACCTAGACATTCCTAAAAGAACACAATAATGACATACATTAATAAACAAATGTGCAAAAGTTAAACTCACAAATGTGGAGAGCTGTTTGCATAAGCCAAATGATGTTGGGTTTTTTATACAAAGAGAAGACAGTATCCTGTTTTTCAGGGAAGAACAGCAGATCCCAAAGCTAAAAATCAAGGAGGGGTGTGCCTAAATCTAACAGTGCTAGTTCTGCCCATGAGGCAGAAAATTCCCACACGCACCTCTCTCCAGCCCTGGCACGGCATAATGAAATGCTCAAAATAACTAATAATTTCTTGTCTTTCCATGATCTGCTGTCTGAGCTAGCTGACTTGTGATGCAAAAGCACAAATCCACTCCTTAGTTATTTTTCCACTGTGAAAGTATGAATTGTTTGTATCATGGTGACGGTTTTTGGAGTTCTTCTGAATCAGATCAAATCTTAGATGCATTATTGCAAAAGCTAATGTGTAATCATTAACAGTACTTTTTAAAGAAATGTCTTATTACTTGTTAATCAAAATTGATGAATGATATTTCTTGTTAGTAACTTTTTTAACCATTAAAATCTATAACCTGGATTCAATGACCACAACCCCCCTTCCCAAATGATGAGGGGAAAGCAATTTGAGATAACAAGCAACTGTTACACATTTCTCCAAAAGCCTAATGCCCAAAGTAACATATTTTCCCAAAGTAACATAATTTCACCATTGTTACTCAAACTAGAAAACATCATTGTTGTATTATTTTCAAGTTTCCTAGACAAATGATGTTCCATAGAACTCCTTTACCTGCAAATAATATTCTCCTTCAATCACATGAAGTCCATCAAAAGCCCCCAGTGCATAAATTTCATCCTGTCGTTTTTCAGACATCTTGTAGCTCAAGTGGCAGCAAAGGCCATTATGGCACACGGTATAGTTTCCTGCTTCTTGGGATAGCTCTGTGAAAGTGAAATTATCAAAATAGATGCTTGCATTGAATACCTGGCTCTTTGGAGTGAAGTGCTTGATGCTTGAAGCATATAAACTCCAATTAACAGGAGGAGGATATGCGGGGGAAAGGCACGGATGGACATCAAGTTCAGCAATCACGAGTTTGCCACTCTTTGTTTCCATATTGAAATGATATGCTTTGGGACCATCAGGTGCAAAGATACCACTCCCTGTGAGCGACAAAAGAGATTAAGAAGAGACCAGGTTTTGTTACTCAGTTTTAAAGATTGCAATGATGAGATTTACTGTCCAACTCGTCTGGAGAGCCACTAATCCCCCACTTCTGCCCTGAGTTCGGACAAGTTACCGCCATGGCAATGTTGACTGTTGTATTCTATTATCTCTAATCCAAAAAGTAATTGTTAAATTCAAAATGTATAATTATAGTGTTACATGGCAATTTTAATTGACATGGTTCCATCCTATCGAGTTGCAGTTTTGGGAGGAACATTTAAAATGATCACCAAGCTACAAAGCCTGGGACTCCATAGAAATGAGAGAATTATATTCATGTGGTTTGGATAAAGCCCTAATTGGCACTAAAAAATAAAAATGCTAACCACCAATTAACTCCCCCCATTATTCTGAACCAAAGAAGGAGATAGAGAGTAGTATGTCAGAAGAAGAATGAATGAAATAACAATGGAGCAATTCATCCAGACTACTCAAAATAAGTGTGATTTACCAGGGAAGGAAGAGGCCACCACAGAAAGAAGCATAAGAATGCATCTACACAGTAGAAATAATGCTGTTTGGCGCCATTCCACACTGTGAAATCTTGGGTGCTGTTGTTTCACAAGGTCTTGAGTCTTCCCTGCCAACTGTGGCTGGTGTTTCACCAAACTACAACTCCCATGATTCCATAACATTGGCCATGGCAGCAAACTGGTGTTAAAATGCATTAATTGAATAACAGCTTGAGATGGTATTAACAGCACTGTCCTTATGAGGACCTCTTCTTTTAGCCCTATTTTGCCCCTTTGTGTTGCAGTAAGGATGGGGCCTGACGTGTGCCATCACATGATACATGGCAGGCCCTGCCCACATTCCTCCCAAAGTAGAGGGAAAGTGCCAAAAAGTGCTTCCTCCATCACTAGAGGGAGGAGAGTGTATTTTGGGTTGCTCCAACAAAGCTACCTGCACTTTCCTCCCCTTTTCTCCATACGATGGAGAAAAGGGCAGTGGGGCAACATGTGTTGTCGCACATTGTTGCCCTTTCTCCCATCTGATGGGGACATGGTGTCAACATACGCTCTCCTATCCCCATTGTATCATGGGGGAAGGAGGGGGGTGGATGGGGCGCCACAAGACACTCTGCGTACTTTCCCTTTCGCCAGCAAAAGGGAAGGTAACAGCTACATTAAATATGAAATGCAACAGCTTGTGTATTTTGTTTTATTCTTTATCTTACCCTAAAAAGGACAGGAAGTTTATTGTTCTTGTTAAGTTATCATCATTTTTTTGTTCTTCCCAAGTAGTTCCCAGGATTTTCTGTTAAATGGGGACAAACTTTTGACATGAAATCTATGAGATAAATGTTTTCCCCATCTCTACATGCCTTCTAGCCTTGCTGCACAGTAAATTGAGATTCCAGTTACCAGTAATATCGAACTTGGGCTTGTGAATATTAGCTGCCAGGAGGTTTATGCGCATTCCCATAGCCCAGGCAGAGTAGTATTGAACAGCAGACAAAAGTGGCAGAGTGTTCATCCAAGCAGTCGGGAAGAGGACAGTGTCCACCTTGTACTTTTCCACAAGTGATACAGCAGGTTCACGAAAATTTAGCATGTCAGCACAAGTGAAAACACCAAACTTCCCAAAGGGCGTGTTGAAGTTTACAAACTGTGGATCCTTGGCATAGTTATAGTAGACTTCAGATGCAAAAAGGTTGTACTGTTAATAAGATAAAGAGGGGAGAAACAATGGAAGAAAATTATACAACAAAAGACAGGATAAAGAGTTTTTAATGTTATATGTCATCTATGCTATTTTCACCTTTTATACTGTTATTCTTTACAAAACATGAAAGAAAAGGTTCATTTACAGATAAACTAGTGAAAACAAATACAATGTCTAAGTAACATTTGATATTTATATATCTTTTAAGTGCTGTATCCTCCCAACAACAGTCAAAACCCACTAGGGAATGGAATACAAGAGTGGGAATCATATGATCCAGCAGATCCTGTTGGACTGCAGTTCCCAGGTTGTCTGTTCTTTCCCATTAACAACTTTTTCCATCTTTGCCACATTTGGGTGCTACCTGGTCACACATCTCCCCATCTTCACTTATGAAATATTAGAAAGTTTGATATAATGGATACCTTGTGGTAACGTGCCACAAATTTTCCTTCTGAATCATATACCACATTTGTGTTGTATTGATAGCGGCCATCACTGGGGCACTGTGGGTCACTGGAATTACACGATTTCTTGTCCCCCATGTTAGCAACCACATAAATGGAGTAGTTTCTTGCCATACAGCTGAGTCTCTCCTGCACTTGAGTTGAGCCAAACCTAATATTATGAAGATTTGAATAACAAAAACAAATAAATGAAAATGAGGAGAAACAAAGGAATTCAGAATTTGGCAGGTTAAGGAAGAATACATATTTATTAGTCTGATAAAGGGTGGAAACAGGAAGAAAAGAAATGAAAGACCAGAAAGATGGAAATGCTGGTTGATTTGGCAACACTGAAATATAATTTCAAATGATGGCAATTTTATGAATGGCAAAAAAAATCTTGAGTTAACCAGAGGAAACCTTACAAAAACAATGATTTTTTTTTTTAAAAAAAACAGCCTGTTTATGAGCTGTTTCACACTGTGGTCCAATGTGACATTTACTTTGTGTAAGGAATGGGCAATCTCTGACCAATAGACTGAATTCAATAGCACACAGGGGGGCCCCAGTAACCCCACAGAGTTTCCTTGTAAATTCATCAGTGATGTCCCCTCTCCTAATACTAAGCATTTTTATATGGGTTTCCAACAGAAAGCCCCTGGTGGCGCAGCAGGTTAAACTGCTGAGCTGCTGAACTGGCTGACCAAAAGGTTGGCGGTTCGAATCCAGGGAGCGGGTTGATCTCCGGATGTTAGGCCCAGCTTCCGCCAACCTAACAGTTTGAAAACATGCAAATGTGAGTAGATCAATAGGTGGGAAGGTAACAGCACTCCAACAGCTGGTTACATGTCCTTGGAAGTGTCTACGGACAATGCTGGCTCTTCAGCTTAGAAATGGAGATGAGCACCAACCCTCAGACATGACGAGACCTAATGTCAGGGGAGACCTTTACCTTTACCTATCCACCAAACAACAAGCCCAGCACAATTCAATCATGGCACTAAAAGGGCAACACAGTGCTATAACTATGTAGTCTGAAAGGGCTGTAAATTGATACCTGTGCAAGGATATCATTTTTTTGAAGTTGGTCACTTGTCTGTTCAGTTTTCTTAGCCTACCTGTTCTAGCTAAGAAAGCAAATATGTTTTTCAAATGGGTTGGCTTGGTCAAGTTGTGGTGACAGGAATGTTCAGTTGCTAAGGGAACCATGCGGAATACATGAAGAAATGAACAATTATCTACAGTATAAACCCTATTGTCTGCACCAATAAAAGGATTACAATGAGAATTAATGATCTGAGGGATGGAGGAGCTGAAATCTAGCTACTCATTCTGACTAAGAATTCTAATGCAAACATTTGCATAACTTCTGCAAAAACAAACCATGCCAGCTGTTATTTTAAAGGGACCTTTAGCAAAGCTAACAAAGGAATGGGCAAAGTGTAAACTGCAGACTGCATGTACCCCCGTGGTCAATTCTGAAGCAATATTACAAGATCAATGCAGCCCTCTAGCTTCCCAAAGTTGCCCATCTCTGATTTAATATCTGCTTTCTAAAACTTAGATTTGTTTTACCTTGGCCTTTCAGCAGATTATACAAAAACTTTGGACTCATTGTCTCCACAAAGCACTAGGCAATGGTCTGTCCTCCAGATGTAGCTGGACTGCAACACCTATATCTCTTAGCCAGCATGCATAGTGGTGATTAAAGCTGGGAGCTACAATTGAACATCATCTGGAGGGCTGCACTTTTTGTTGTTTTTGTTGTATGCCTTCAAACCATTTCTGACTTATAGAGACCCCATTCACAGGGTTTTCGTGGCAACCTTTGTTCAGAAAGGGTTTGCCTTTTGTCTTCTTCAGAGGCCAAGATCACCCAGTGGGTTTCCATGGCTGAATGGGGATTCAAATCTAGGTCTTGGGAGTCACAGCCCAATATTCAAACTACTACACTATGAAAGCATGTTTTCTACACCTGTCACAAAAGAAGCTTTGACAACCACATTCCTACTTGAGTTTAGATGATCCATGGTGATCATCCTCCTGTTGACGGTTCTATGCTTATTTGCAATCTTTATCATATACCCTAATGTTCCAGTTCCATTTTATGTTGCCACAATGGGGAATGGTCTCCACTATTTTCTTCATTATCTCATACTATCATGGAGCTTACAACAAGGGAAGCAAATTGGGGATGAGCAGGGAGTGAGTCCTTGGGTCCTTCCGCACAGCCTTATAGCCCAGAGTATCAAGGCAGAAAATCCCACATTATCTAAGTGTGGACTCAGATAACCTAGTTCAAAGCAGATATTGTGAGATTTTGTGTCTTGATCTTCTAGGATATAGGGCTGTGTGGAAGGGCCCCTTGATGATTAGGCTGCTGGTGAGATGAGAGATTATTTACTCATTACTCCTGAGAGCCCTTCCACACAGCCCTATATCCCAGAATATCAAGGCACAAAATCCCACATTATCTGAGTGTGGACTCAAATAACCCAGTTCAAAGCCGATATTGTGAGATTTTCTGCCTTGATATTATGGGACATAGTGCTGTGTGGAAGGGCCCGAAATGATCAGATAAAACTGGATCACCAAGACTTTTATGTAGTTGGATTTTGTAGGGCTGGGTCTACACTGAAGAATTAGTGCAGTTTACAACAGCTTACATCCTGGGAATTGTAGTCTGCTTTGACAGAGAATGCTAAAGACCATGTAAAACTACAGCTCCTATGATTCCATAACATTGAGCCATGGCAGTTAAAGTGGTGCCAAACTGTATTAAATCCAGAATGTTAATTTCATTTTTGAATAGAAATGTGCCAACTGATGAAGCTTAAGACATGAACTGTTATTGATCTCTCCTAGGAATGAAAAAGGCTGCCTGCAATCCTTGCTACACACAGTTACTGCCACCTATGGGGGAAATTGAGGGAAATTGTTTTATTATTTGTTACAAGGTACACATTTCAGAATGCTCAAACTTTGAAGATTTCTTCATATCTGCTTTACTCAATATTGCTATTACAGAAAATCTACATATGTTTCTACACATATTTACATTGACACAAATATCAATATTCATTGTTAAGTGTTACCAGATGCCTTCTGATAACATTTATTGTAACTTTTATTTGTTAGTAATGAGGGCCAGTGTGGCATAGTGGTTTGTGTGTTGAATTATGATACTGGAAAATAAGGGTATGGATCCCGTCTGAAAAACATCCAAATAAAATGCAAGAAAAAAAATCACAATGTTTATTTTGTAACATAAACAGCATTCTGCATTTTTCTTATTTAATTAAAATAATTTAATTAAATTATGTAACAATTATGGAACAATGCTTCTGGTGGCCTATGCACTAAAGTGGAACTATGCACTTTATATGTTTCAATCTGTCTACTGTTTTAATGGAGGAGGTATGTTATTGTTTTTACTGTCGATTTTACTGGTATTGAATTCTACTGGAGTTGTAAGCTGCTTTGAGTCCCCTGAGAGGGAGAAAAGCAGGGTATAAATGAAGCAAATAAATAAATAAAAATACCACAGTGTACAGGTTGAGCAGCACTTATCTAGAACTCCCAAAATCCAAAATAAGTTTTAACCAAAAATTCAAAATTGTCCACATAGGTGACTGAGACATTAATATATTTGCTTTCGGCTGGCTCAATGTACACAAATTTTCAGGCTTAAAATTATTAAAATATTAAAAATATTCCTGATTAGAGTACCTTTAGCTATGTATATAAGGTACATACCCATATTTTCAGGCCATGCACTTATAGTGTATTGAGTGAATTGTGTGTTTATACTTGGGTCACATCTCCAAGATAACACTTTATGTACATACAGTATGGTATTCCAAAGTCCAATAAAATAAAACAAATTCAAAAGCCAAAGCATTTTTGGACCCAATTCTTACATACAATGAATACCCAACCTGTATTCACAGAAGAAACAGCAGCAGCAGAAGCAACCACTATGAATTCAAAGAAGGAGCAAACACAATGCATCAACAATGATTATTACATGGAGGAATCTAGCTGCCTTGGATCCTAAAGTGAAAGAAAGGAAGGTCATAATTTCAGTTCAATAAATAAATAAATAAATAAATAAATAAATAAATAAATAAATAAAATAAACATCCCCATTCTGTTCTTCCATTGGAAAGAAAATGGAATTACTACACCCTGTGTGGTTCCAGCTGAAGCTATTTTAATACAACTATCCTGTATCATCCAAGGCATTTTAACTACCTTGTGTTTCCTCATTACTTTCAATATTTTCCACGTTCCACAAAAAATATTTTAGTGAAAATGATTGAAGCAGCTGGACAACCCAAAGGAAATGTTAGATAAGGAGCAGCACAGCCAACATTACATAATTCTGGGGAGGAGCCCATTTATGTTTTGCCTTGATGAAGATAGGAAGAGGAACAATACCTTCCAGGCTCAATGCATGGATTCCAGTTGACTTGAGGATCTGGTATATCCTCAAGATAAGGATAAATTGAATCTCTTGTGAAGACCCAGCCAAAGATTCCATCTTCAGGTGTCACAATGATGTGAGCTCCCTAGAAAAGGATATCTTTTAACATACATGCAATCCTAGGGGAAATACTATTGTTTAAAAGCCATCATGCAAAGTGATGGGGCAGTACCTGCTCAGCAGCTGTTTTGATGGCTCCTTCTAAGATATCTAGATTTTTGTTCATTAGCTTCAAGGCATCTTCTCGAGAGACAAGTGCTGGCGTAGCTCCTGGGAGTATAACAGCATGCTCATAGACAGCAGCAATGTAGGTATCTAGGGCTGAGGTCTGAAGTATAATACCAGTCAGCAAGAGAGTACAAGCAGCAAGTTGGAAGGCAATCATGCTTACCAAGTGAGTCTCTTACTTGTAATGAGGAAAACCAGGAAGTTGCTGAGATTGATACTGAGTAATAAGTTGTTTTGGGAAATCCTATTTCATAACAAGTCCAAGGTATGAGAACACAGCATTGTGAAACAATCAAATGATTGCCACATAGAGGAAACCAGACACTTTATACTTTGCTTTCTATTCAGTAAATACTGTATACTCTTTGTACTCAGTTACATTAGGATTGCACATGGGTAGGTAGGCAGGCATATTCTTTGTAAAGTACTGTTTGTTAACCTAAAAGGAAATATAACAAACTTACGAATAAGGCATATGTATTTATTGAGCTATGAGTAAAGCCAGCAAATGCTTGAGCTGAGTAGTTTGAGGTGCATTTGAATACCTAGATGTCACTTGATAAAGATCAATTCCTGAAATTAAGGTGGTTGGACTTGCTCAGTTAATACATGAGTGACAGAATGCCTAGGAACACCCTGAATATGCAGATTAATTCAATGTCCAAGCACTTGAAAGGCCTGAAGCCTAGAATAGCAAATAAATGTATTTTCAAACCAGAACAGTCAAATATTTCTACTGGAATCTCCAAATAGTAAAGTCATTTTGGGACGCACATTATTTGTTCTTGCAGCCCAGAGACAGGTATAAAAACATGAAGAGGGTTTACCTGCACCCCCTCCCCCTGGTGTCTCAAAATCCACCCCATTTTTTGTCTCAAATGAGTAATCAAATGCTAATTTATTCTTATCAGAGCAAGTAGAAGTGCCACATTCATTCCTTCTAAAAGCTGATCACTGTTTTCACCCCTTGAAAGCCAGGTCTTCTCAGGAATCACTGCGAAGTATGGGCCCTTCTTTACCTTTCATTATTGTGAATTGCACTCAACTTCAAATTATGGCTGCCCTATGAATGAGACCGTCCTAATCAGGTTTTCAAATTGCAGATCCATGGTTTCCTTTACATGTTCTATCTATACAGTCTACCTATTTTCCTACTACATTTCACCTTCTATTAAGTCATGGTTTATTATAATACTAGGCCTGGGTAACAACGCAAAAAATTGTTTCTAAAATCAATTTGTATTTGGGGGTTTTTTGCGTTTCGATATTTAAAATAATTACAAAATTTTCCTTTGAAAAAGTTCGATATTTACGAAATTTCGTAAATGGTAAAAATTAACGAATCAATTTCTGAAACAATAACGAATCGATTCGTTAATGGCGGACGCGACCGCAAAATACGCTAAAAAACCTCCAAAACCTTCTGAAGCTTCCCTCTCCCTCTGTTGTTGACTGTTGGTGTGATATTATAATTTTTTTTCACTAATTAAACCATAAAACTGGCCCAGACATGCGGAAATAATAACGAAACGACCTCAAAACAATAACGAAAGGAATACAATATCGAAATACGAAGCATTTACAAAACGTTTTTGAAAATTCGTTTTTTTAATAATTGCTCCAGAATGGTTCGTTATCGTTTTGTAATTGAAAAAATTAACGAATTATTAACGAATTACGAATTAACGAAACGAAACCGCCCAGCCCTATATAATACAGCCAAATTATGACGGCCTCAATTTAATCATTTTGGTTTCTAGGGAGAGCTCAGGCTTCATTTTCTCAAAGACCCATTTATTTGTCTTTTTAGCAGTACACAGTATCCATGGAACTATTTTTCATGGATAATTTCCATGCAACATTTCTTCTTCCTATCAGTTTTTTTCATTGCTCAGTTTTCACAACCATATAGAGATTGAGAATATGATGGTGCAGATCATCCTGACTTCGATTATCCATCTTCACACTTTAGGATCTTTTCTTTCCTCCATAGCTGTGCTTTCAAGACCTAGGACTTCATTAGATAGGCAGCAGGGAAGCAGGGGAAAGTGAGGGATAGGGTTGGGAAGAGTGGGGGCCTGTCTTACCCTGCTTTCTCCTGGCAAAGTCCATCATTAGGGATGTCCAGCCATTCCATGACCTTTCCTTGTAATCTTCTTCCCGCTTCTCTGAATCAGTAGTCTGGTAACATCTGATTCCTGAAAATTGAGTCTTCTCTGATTTAGCATGCTGGCAAGATGGATTATCATGGGTGGCCAATAGAAGTTGCTGTGCATCATGAGATGGCCTCCATGGGACTCCGTTTTGCCAGTGTGCTAAAACAGAGAGAAAATGAAGGAAAACTTCCATGTGATGAGGTCCCTAGTCTTCTTGATTTCCAACTCTCTATTCTGAGCCAAAGGATGAAAAACCTTGAACTATTTCAATGTCTTCATCTCTTCTTTAAAATTATGTAAACTATCTGTGGTTTATATTTTTGTTTTCTTGATGTTCATGTATAAACCTGCCTTTGTACTTTCTTCCTTGACTTTCTTCAGTAATCATTCCAAGTCCTTGCTGTTTTCTGCTTTCCCTTCCATCCAGCTACACAAATAATGGTTATAATTAGCAATAATGGTTAATATAAACATTTTAATGGCTATTTTGCTAGCAAATAATGATGCTAGATGGCCTTATGTTGGAGGTGCTTTGATTATGTGTTCCTGCATGGCAGAATGGGGTTGGACTGGATGGCCCTTGTGGTCTCTTCCAATTCTGTGATCCCATGAACATACAAATATTTTTTTTTATAAATGATAGTGTTTCATTCTTTATTTTAAATTAGTAAGCAAACAATGTTATAACATTCATTAAAAAGTTCAGTGTAATATTCTTTGAAATGTATGAACAAAATATACTTCTTAAGAAACTGAACCTGCAGATTTATTTAGTACTGACTCTATTTGTGATGTTAAAGTACAAAAGCAGAGAAATACATAACATATTTCACAGTGCACAATTGTTCTCTCTCCATCTACTATCTTTGCCAGTCTCAGATGTAGCCAATTCAAATAGTTTATTACAGAAATATTTTTGAAGGCATTTCTTCTGATAATGGAGAGGTGCATTACAGTTCCAGAATCCAGAGGTCATATTGGATCATTATGAAAAGGATGGCCACATATAAGTATTTATTACTCTTTGTTTGTGCGTTAGGCTTCTAAATATGCCACCAGATGTCAGGTTTCAGCCTGGAACAGTAAACATTTCCAGCTACGTTTCACTTGATAATAGATGAGTTCTTTCTTGTTCTGTGGCCAACAGGTTTTCGTGACTGGATCTATGCAAGAGAGAGAGGGAAGGCTTTTAATATTTTCAGCACATATAATACTACTGAATCAAGAGAGAGAAGTAAAGAATATGAAACCACTACGGCTGAAATGAAGCAGTCAATATTTTCCTATTTTAGCAATTCAGGGCAAATACAATTATGTTCCCACCCCCACTTCCCATAGCAGTGTTTTTCTCCTCCCTTCTTTCCTTCTCCCTTCTTTGCTCTTTTTGTCATCAGTTTACCATTTATCTTTCTGGCTTCAGTAATAGAGATCTTATTGACACTGTGAAACAAATGGACTTGATATCAGAGTTGTTTGTAAACTAAACAACATAACTTATCAAAGCTAGGAAGGCTGAGACATCGAGACCAAACTAGATAATGCCTTATTGTCAGTGAAAATTTCTTTCTCCACCCTCTCCTCTGAAGAAAGTATTTGGCCTTAGAAGGATTTTGTTACTGGTACGTGTAGCTGTTTCCTTCTTGGGGAAAATAGTAGTTGGGACAGAAGATTAAACATTAAAGATGAATCAGTCCCAATGGTCCCATTCTTCTCCTCATCCCTTCTTTTAAAAGAAAAAGTGACACATTCAATGCAAGTGGAGATTTCAATGTGATGTTCAGTTCGGTGATGTTCACAAAGGGAAAAGACCACCAAAATAGCTGCTAATCTATATAAATAAAAATGTAATGTTCATTTGTAGGATTAACATAACTCAAAAAACACTAGACGAATCGGCACAAAATTTGGACACAAGATACCTATCAGGCCAACAAGTGACCATCACTCATAAAAACACTGAAAAACACAGTGAAAGAGACTTAAAAAGCCAAAAAACAAAAAAATACATTACAACACTGCGCAAAACCCCATATATACACAAAAAACACATATACACAGTCTGGGCCACAGCAACGCATGGCAGGGGACAGCTAGTAAAATAATAAAAGGCTGAACAGCTTCAGAATATATATATATATATACACACACACACACACACACACACACACACACCCCCACACATGTTTCACTGCTTTGATTACAGAAAACCAGTAGGAACATTTCTGAAAGACTGGCAGGTTTTGGTTTTTTTGTTTTGTTTTTGTTTTTTTCAGTATCATGGGAAGAATAGAATCATAGGTTTTTATTATTAATAGAGGTTTGTTTAGATGAAGTGTATGCCACATACACACACACACACACACATGAGATACAGAGCCAATTTGTAACATTTTTGGGTACTTGAAATAGGCTACTCTCAAAGCAAATACACTTGGCAGGTTGCTGTCAAAGAACTAAAGAGAATATTGGCACCTGCTTATCATGCTCTTGGAATACTCACTGCTGGCACCTAGATAAAAACCAGCCAGATAATTCAGCAGATTTTTTTGACTAATTGAACAGGAAAGAAAGGTATGTTGGTATCAATGATTTGTAACCAAACTGAAAATTGAGGTTGTGATAACATTTTACTATTCAGAATCTGTAAGAAAATTTTAATTATATTTTATGACAAAGAGTAACTATGACTGTACCTTCTTCTATGTGAGGTCTCATAGATATAGAATATTCCTACAGCGATCCCCTGGAGAGAAAACAACTGGTCAGCACATTTGTAGTGATTGAATTACATTATGATAAAATATATAAGAGTGATGTCAAATGAAGTTATTTTACATACACTTAACAGTGGGAATCCACCTTGAATGGCTGCAGCCCATTCAAAACCCAGCTTGTCATTAAGAAATCCACCTAATGTTGGACCCACAAAAGACCTAAAAAGAAAGATTGGAAGGAATATACCAATTTTAATGTAAATCTGAGGAATGCAAAATTGTCACAACCTAGGATGCAAATAATGGTTAATTCAATTGGAGAATGATATGCTTCTCATTCGTTTTCAGAAGGCAAAAATATACTACTCTACAAACAATGCATCAAATAACACAATTTTTATCATGGTTGCTGACAGAGGCGAAGGAGAGCTCCCTTGCCTTCAAAAGCTAAAATTGTCTTCTGCAACACAGCATAACCCAATAACATACTCAAAGACTTTTTAAAAATAGTCTCCACCCCCTCACCCAATAACCTTTAAGAAAGAGCCAGTGTACCATGGCTCTATAAAACAGGGTTCAATTTACCACTTGGACATAGAAACCCACTGGGTGACCTCAGGCAATTCACACATGTTCAGTCCCAGAAGATCCCTTAGGAGCTCCAGAAATCAGAAATGGGTCTAAAGCACACAAGTCTTTCAAATACTGTGTGAGTCCAACAAACACCAGACTCAACTAGACGAGCCAATGGCCATGGATTATGCGAGCAGCAGTCCAATGATATCCACAAAGCAACAGGTTGCCCCCCAACTGTGATTTCATCCGTTCCTCTGGAGAGGAGAGTCATTGGCTCCAAATGAACTGGGATTTATACATTATATTTCCAATGCATTTTTGAGATATCTTTGTTTTGCCACTTTTGTGTTCTGCTACTTTCCTTTCATGTACTGACCTCTGTCTTAACACACCAACCAGAAATAAATGAATGTTGGATGTCACATAGAAGAGATAATTTTGCTTGCTTGAACTGTGTGTTGAAAATTTTCCAAGTGGACTAAATCTAACAGAACTGCTGGTGTTGCTGACTACTAGGTTATGGGAGTGGGGGTATTACTAGACCAGTGGTTCTCAACCTTTGGGTTCCCACATGTTTTGTGCTACAACTCCCAGAAATCCCAGCCAGTTTTCCAGCTGTTAGGATTTCTGAGAGTTGAAGGTCAAAACATCTGGGGACCCACAGGTTGAGAACCACTGCACTAGAAGAATGTCCCTGGCTCCCTTGTCTTCTTCTTTATGATATTAACAAGCATACTGTCAGGTTGCTTATGGACTCTGTTTGTACCTCCCATATCCTCAACTTGCCTGATCCCATCATGGATAAAAGAATTCCAGCTCTGAGCTGAGCTTGTGTTTACCTGGCTCAAACCCAATAACATACTTCCAGAAACAAAAAATCTTTTGTAATATTCAGAAGCTTTGATATGCAACCCAAGGGTGTGCTTGGAATCTGAATTGACCTTTACTTGTTCACATATTTTTCCATATAATTTCCCTATTTTGGATACACACAGCTTTCATATTATTACAACTAACTCTTTAATGATTTTATATAACATAATAACTCTTGATTAATATTTGCAGCAGACATTAGTAAGGAATTTTAAAACTACCCCCCTCCCCTCTCGTTAGTAGAGGCAAAGGTTTTCCCCTGACATTAAGTCAATCGTGTCTAACTCTGGGGGTTTGTGCTCATCTCCATATCTAAGCCGGCATTGTCCGTATATACCTCCAAGGTCATGTGGCCAGCATGACTGCATGGAGTACTGTTGCCTTCTCACTGGAGCGGTACCTATTGATCTACTCACATTTGCATGTTTTCAAAGTGCTAGGTTGACAGAAGCTGGGGCTGACAGTGGAAGCTCACGCCACTCCCCGGATTCGTACCTGTGACCTTTTGATCAACAATTTTAGCAGCTCAGCAGTTTAACCCACTGTGGCACTGGGGGCTCCAAATACATAGGATTTAAACAAATGAAGGCATGGACTCTTTTCCTACTCCAGAGTTATGACAGAGATGGCAGGCCAATAATGGATTTCCCTGCCATATAGTACAACATGGTGGGTGTGAAAGAAACAGTGTATTTTAAAGTAGGGGTGTGTGAAATGGCAGAAATCAGTCCTGTGTTTGTTTCAAATTTTGAGTGCCCCCCTTCTGTTTTGGGGAAGATTCTTCCCAAAATGGAAATGGAACTCTAGATCCAGTATTAGGAATTTGAATAGCCCCCCTCCTAATCTCCTGGAATCTTCCCAAAAAAAGAACTGAGGAGGGGCGTGGGTTCGGGTTCCGAAAATAGAATGAAAACAGAACACACTTCTGACATTTTGCATACCCCTATTTTAATGTCAATTCAAGATACTTTACTAAGACAAAGGAGAAGATGGGACCCTCTCAATTCCATGTGCTGAAGCTTACTGGACTGTTAGTTGAACCTTATTTCAATGGGTTGAGAGTCTTCACCAGACCTGAAAGGATTACTTCAGTACAGGACAGAATGCATGATGCACACAGCTTTATTATATAAGAGAAGGAAAGGGCCAGAAATATCAAGAAAGACAGTGGGAGGTGGGGTTGCCACTACTGCCTCCCCCCCCCTCCAATCCACCACATAAAGCGGTTTCCTCCTTCCACCTTATGGTAGAGCCAATCCTCTTACAACTGCTGTTCTTTAGTTATGATCATGACCAGCTTAGTTGTGATCTCTTAAACAACAGAGGAGAACCCTGAAGGAGGTCAAAAGAAATGTGAGACTTCTTCACCACAGAACATCAATTACTTTCACACATGCAACATCAAGACCAATTTTAATGCTCTGGAGAGGTTACTATAGGACAGGCTAAATGTGTACAAACCTAAATTAGCACAATTTTATTTTTTGACCATGGATTTTGTAAGAAGAAAAATGGCCACACAGAATGCAGACGGTTTCTGTCAAATAAATACTTCAGTTTCAGAGAGATTGTATTTTGACAGCACTTACACTCCAGGCTTGCTAGAGAGGTCAAAAACACTAAAAAGAGCTAAAAGGGGAACAAAGAATTGGTAGAATAACTGGGGAAGGTGGCAAAATATAGGAATACCTGGCTATGCTAAATGATTTCAAGTCTCCAGGGCTCCATCAATGTACAGTGTCTAGGTTGAGGGAAGTAATAGTACCATTTTATTCTGTTTTAGTCAAACCTCACCTATAATACTGTTTCCAGTACTGGGCACTGCAATTCAAGAATGATATTCACATGGTCAAAGGTATGGAAACCATGACCTATGAGGGGCAGCTTAGAGAGCTGGGTATATTTAGCCTGGAGAACAGAAGGTTAATAGGTGACATGATAAGTAAAGGTAAGGTAAAGGTTTCCCCTGACATTAATCATATCTGACTCTGGGGGGTGCGCTCATCTCCATTTCTAAGCCGAGAGCCAGCGTTTTCCGTAGACACCTCCAAGGTCATGTGGCTAGCATGACTGTATGGAGCGCCATTATCTTCCCTCATTTGCATATGTTGTCGAACTGCTAGGCTGGCAGAAGCTGGGCCTAATAGCAGGAGCTCACTCCGCTCCCTGGATTTCAGTCGGCAAGTTCAGATTGCTGAGTCACTGGGGGGTGATGTGATAGTCATGTTTAAATATTTGAATGGGTGTCATTTTAAAGATGGAGGAAGTCTGAGCTCCAAAGATGAGGATACAAAGCAATGAAATCAAACTATAGGAAAAGAGATACCACCTAGACTTTACAAAAACGCCCTGATGATAAAAAGTGTTTGACAGTAGGATATACTGCTTTGGAGTGTGGTGGAGTCTCTTTCTCTGGAGGTTCTGAAGCAGAAGTTATATGACCATCTGTCAAATATGCTATGGTTGTGTGTTGTATGGATGAGAGTTGGATTGGAAGGCCCTTGTGGTCTTCCCAATCTCTTTGATCAATAAGTTTAGGGAACAATTTTGTAACCTGGCATTCTCCAGCGAGCACATAGACTCCAAAAGGACATTTTTTTAAAAAAGAAAACAACTACTAAATGAGGTAGTTCACTTTTTCTGCTTGCAACCAGTGGAAAAGTGGAAAAGACAGTGCATTTGCTACAAGCACCACCATATGCATGGATATTGTGAAATAAATCTTTCCATGTTAAATGGAGCTTGTTCTCTAGAATGGGCATGGGCAAACTGTTAGGAATTGTGGGAGTTGAAGTCCAAAACACCTGGAGGGCCCATTACTGCTCTAGAAAGTGTGTTTAGGATTGTGCCTTTGGATTCTACCAAGCAAATATGATATTCAGTTCAGGTATTTTCTCTCTGATTCATGGCTTGGACTCTTCACTGCTACTCTGCATCGCTTCCTGGGATAATATTATTATTGCTATTAAATGACTAGGAATATCAATGCTGGCACTGGTGCTGCTAATCAAAATCTAATTTATTGTCTGTAAATTGAATGCAAGAGCAATTTCAGAACGAAGTAAATGGCCTGTACATGGCTTTTTGAATCATTTGCAAAAGAGGACTTGACTCAATTAACTGATATAAAATTAATTTCAAATGAGATTGACTTGATGGAATGTTCCTGGACAATCCTCATTTGCTGATACCAGAAGCATGGCTGCCACTAACCAATTTTAGGGATTTTAAAATTAATAGTGAACAGATAAAGAACTGCTATAAATTAAATATCCACTAAGGACACAATAACCTCTCCAGGTATATCAGGTCCATGAATAATGCTAAACCAACTATGAGATTGACATTTGGGGGGAGGGGGGACTGTCCACCTTTTTTCTTTGTTGTTGTTGTTGTTGCTGGCAAAGTGACCTACGCAAATGCTATCATGTGGTTTTCTTGGCAAGATTTCATCAGCGGAGGTTTGCCATTGCCTTCCCTGCAGCCTGAGAGTATGATTTGTTCAAGGTCACCCAATAGGTTTCCCCAGTTGGGCAGGAATTTAAACTCTAGTTGCCTGGAGTAAAACTTAAACTTCTACTTCAAACTTACTCTACAGTTATAGCTACATAAAGAAGGTACACAGAGTTGTAAACAAGATAGTATTCCATGACTTTCTACATACCCAAGTGACCATACTGCACTGAAGAGCCCAGAGACCAGCCCTAGCAAGCTCAATCCTTCTTCAAATCCATTCTCACTGCAAAAGGAAATGTACAAACTGGTTATCTGCCAAGACTGTTTTTTTTTCCATTTTGAACTATTATAGGTTTTGGATCTGAGCAGTGTAAGAGTCGTCTGGTTTAATCAGTAAAAGCAGTATCATCTATAGAGGAGATGGGTTTGGAATGAACTTTGGACCATGGGTTGAGCATGGCCTGTCTGGGTTTTATCCCTCTTATTTTCTTTAAGATCGCATAGACATGTCTCAATTAACAAAACATCTGACAAAAGAGTTCCCTTTCATATCTACTCAACCTCCCTTTTCTTTTTTTGCCCTCTGTGTCTAATTGGATTTTTTAAAAGCTGCATTCACATGAGGAGGATGGAGGAGGCGGCCCAAGAAACACAGCCTTCCAATGTCATGTTGCAGCAGTGTGTGCGCAATAAACAACACAATAAAGAAAGCCTGAGCTTTTTTAAAAAAGCCAGATTTTGCTGTAGCGATTCCACTGTAGCCATGTGTATCTGACTACAAGAGGAAAGGCAAGCAGCAACTGTCTCCAGAATCTTCACTGGGAATGCATGGAGCAAAATTGAGGGGAAAGGGGCCTTATCAGCTCATCTCAGCATGTTAAAAATGTGCATATACATTTGATAACCAAAATGGAAAACATAAGAAAATGATTACAGATGAAAGGAAGAAATAAATCATCCCTGCATATAGTTTAGAATGATTTTCAAGAAAGTTCAAAATATTTTTTATTTACCCATGGAAGTTTTACTTGATCTGATTCATTTCATGTGTGCATATATTTACTGAAAGCTTTGGAACAGTTCCCTATTATGCTTCTGTTAAAGTAGTAACACCAAAAATGTCAACTACTTGGGAAGGGGTCAGTAGACATATACCCTTTACTGACCCCTGACCAAATGTTTGTATATATTACCCCCACTTTATAAACTTAAGGTGCCTATAGTAACTGGCAGTGAGAATTTCAAGCTAAAACATGCTGGATATTTTTTTTATCCCAGGCTTTTGCACTTTGACCCATCTATCCCTGGAATGTGCGATGTTGAATATGAAACTTTTCTAATGCTGACTTCCACCCTGACCCTCAATAATGCCTTGCTCTTAAAGAAAAATGAGTACTTCCAAGTCTTCCTCTCCTAGGGTTTCCCCTCCAAGAAGAATGTAATAGAGTATTGTGTCATTAAAAACTTCAAACTACCCATAAAACTACATCAAATACTGCATCAAGCTCACAGCATGTGGAAGGATTCACTCAGACACTGAGTGTGTTGGGTGAGTGGAGCATTATCTCACAGATGGGAGATAATCTAACTTGTCTTAAACCAAAGTACTTAGCTTTGCATATTTATCCTGGCACAGATCTGTAGTTACCTACTTCAGATTCCATCTGAACATGAGGAAGAACTTCCTGACAGTGAGAGCCGTTCAGCAGTGGAACTCTCTGCCCCAGAGTGTGGTGGAGGCTCCTTATTTGGAAGCTTTTAAACAGAGGCTGGATGGCCATCTGTCAGGGGTGATTTGAATACAATATTCCTGATTCTTGGCAGGGGGTTGGACTAGATAGCCCATGAGGTCCCTTCCAACTCTTTGATTCTATGATTCACAGTTAGAAAATTTCTGGTCCTATAGATGCTGCTCAATTGCAAATCCCACAATTTAACCATTGGATATGCTGGCCAAGGTTGATGAGAAATGCAGCCCAAAACCACAAGGAGGGCCAAACATTTCCTATCCATGAACCATATGATTTCAAGCAATTTTGGAATAATGAATTAAAAGTTTGTTTAGCAAAGGCAACTTACTATGCACAGCCGAGTATCTCAGGGAATACTGGCATACCATTCATTCCAAGAGAAAAACCAATCAAAACCAACATTAGAACAAAGAGCCAAAGTTTGCTGTAAAAGAAAAAAAAAACCCCAATGCAATCTCAGAAGATACTTAACCATATATAAATGTCAACTACAGTCAAGACAAATTTTATCACAGGCAAACATCCTAAACACCAGGCTTACAAAGATAATGTATATTTTAATATGTATTATATGTAAATGTTTTAATATGAGTATTTTACAGAGTGTTTAAAAAATTATGTACTCTATTTTAATTGTGTGATTTAACAATGTTGTAATCCACTTTCAGCCATGAGGAGAGGCTGGTAAGAAATAAAATTATTGTTGTTGTTGTTGTCATCATCATCACCATCACATTCTGTAGATGAAAATGTACAAGTCTGACCAAGTGAGGGGAAAGTTTTGGAGTTAGCAACCTTGACATGTCTAGATTTGCTGGTGTTTAGATTGAATGTCACTCTGTAGCAGTTGAGGCAAGTATGTTTCTGGGAACTTTCTGTTTGTTTCTTCACACACTCTCTTCCTGCATCATGTAACCTTCCTTTGTTCTTTAGTTCTCATCTGCTTTCACACATCTTTCTCCCTGCCTGTCATTCAAGAAGCAGGCATGATAAGAGATCTTTCTGGGTGAAATGCTCCATCCCTTCTAATATCACATAGTACTTTTCCTTTTCTTAGCTTTCTTCAAGATGAAGCTGTGTTGACAAAGTACTCAAAAGTGAAATTACTTTTATATTCCTGACAAAGAAGTCAAAGATTTCTTCCTCTGCTAGATTTTGTTTGTGGGCTAATGAATTGTTCAGCTTCAGAGTTACTACCTCAATCTTCCATGTTTATCGATAGAAAGGAAGCAAAATCTGCTCCCCAATGCAATGGCTCACCCTAGCTTTGCAGCCTTAACTAGCTTTGCAGCAAGGTGGTCTCATCCAGCCCATGTGGTTCTTTCCTCACTCATAGCTGCCTCCTTTCCAGTAAAGTGGGTTGGAAAATTGAGCCATGCCCATGATTGGTCCTGTGGAGGAGGATCTAGACCTCTAATCCTAGAAGTTTTCCCCATCCCTCCTCTATCCTGCAAATACTTTTGGGAGGATGGTGCTTTTGCCAAGAAACTTATGGGGCAGATGCAGGATACCCAAAGGCAGTCAATGAGCTGAGAAAGAAAAAGTACCTTTATTAAGCCACCAATGAGACAAAGCGATTTTGGTGTGAGCTTTCAAAACCACAAATTATAGGTATATGACTTCAAGGATCTGAAAACATACTAACATAGGTATTCTTTCATATCAAGCAAAGAATCATCAGTGGGTTGCTGTGAGTTTTCTGGGCTGTATGGCCATGTTCCAGAAGCATTCTCTCCTGATGTTTCACCCACATCTATGGCAGGCATCCTCAGAGGTTGTGAGGTTTGTTTGGAAACTAGGCAAATGAGGTTTATATATCTCTGGAATGACCAGGGTGGGAGAAAGAACTCTTCTCTGTTTAAGGCAAGCCTGAATGTTGCAACTGGCCACCTTGATTAGCATTTAATGGCCTCGCACCTTCACAGCCTGGCTGATTGCTGGCTTGGGGGGGGGGGTTGTTTACTGTCCTGATTTTAGAGGTTTTTTAAAATATCGGTAGCCAGATTTTCATGGTTTCCTCCTTTCTTTTGAAATTGTTCACATGCTTGTGGATTTCAATTGCTTCTTTCTGTAGTCTCACATGGTGGTTGTTAGAGTGGTCCAGCATTTCTATGTTCTTGAATAATATGCTGTGTCCAGGTTGGTTCATCAGGTGCTCTGCTATGGCTGACTTCTCAGGTTGAACTGGTCTGCAGTGCATTTCATGTGCCTCAAGCAGAGAAGAGTTCTTTCTTCCACCCTGGACATTCCAGAAATATATAAACCTCACTTGCCTAGTTTTCAATAAACCTCACAACCTCTGAGAATGCCTGCCATAGATGTGGGTGAAACATCAGAAGAGATGCTTCTAGAACATGGCCATACAGCTTGGAAAACTCACAGCAATCCAGTAATTCTGGCCATGAAAGCCTTCAACAAGACAAAGAACTATCAGCTTTGGTGACTATGTTCCTATTTGATGATGATGTAAGAGGTGCTGGTTATTTTGCACAAGATTTTTGTGTAAGACATTTCTTTTTCAAGATTGCTTTTTGCATAACATTTTTGGTGTGCAGTGAGCCTATGTACGTGTGTGTGTGTGTGTGTGTGTGTGTACAGCTTCTCTGAGTCTCCTTTGTGGAGAGAAAAAGGGGGGTATAAATAAACATCGTCGCCATCATCATCATACATATGTATGCATATGTTTATCTCACATTAAATCACAACCCTACACACAAAAAATATGTAGCTGTCCAGAATCAGTGACTGATATTCCAAATTACAGTTAGTATTCATAACCCTCTTAAAACATAAAAAACCCCTTAGCTTTGCCATAATTCAGAAATAACTTCAAAGCACACAGCAACAATTCTTTTGAACCTAAATGTAGGAGATCCATAACTGGTCTGTATTCAATAATCAATGTAAGCATGTTGCACAATTGCCATAATCATAAATGCACCCCAAACCTTACTTAATAGCCAGCAGCAAAATTGAGCAAAGGAAGTCTGGTGTTAGAAATTGAAGAAGGCGATTTCTAGCCTGCATCCCTTCCCATCCCGAACCATCCCATCCCATCCCAAACCATCCCATCCCCCATTAGTAAACAAGGTTGTTTACTAGAGGAACTGTGAAAGTGTTTCTGCTCCTGATTATCACAGGCTTGTTTCCTGGCAGGAGGGACATGGAAATATCATTTTACTGCATCGTGATTGCCAGCTGAACAACCTCCTTCACTCAATGCACATTAAGGTGGATTTGCGCAGTTTAGTTAGGGAATGTTACTTAATACTTATGTGTCAGGACTCGGTTTCCTGGCCTCGGACATTGGTGCAAAAAACCCACGTCCTGACTAGGAAAACTGATAAGGATGTGCAGCTGGTGGCCTTGGGGGAAAGCAGTTGATAAATGGCGGGGAACATTGCGCGGGATCCTCGGCTGGCGGGAAAGGGAGATTCAATTGTGAGGGAGGGTATAAAAGGGGTTGACTGCGGCTGCATGCCAATCCTGGCTTTCGTTGTGTATGCATTTCCAGTAGTAAAAGTTTCCTGATTGATTACGGATTG